TGTCCTGCACGAGCTGTGGGTTTGCCTCCACTGCAGAAAGTCCCTTTGCTTATGCAAAGGAATTTTCACAGAAACACGGAATATTCTGATTTGGAAGGGACCCACAAGGATCATCGAGTCCAACCCTGAAGTGAATGGCCTGTCCAGGGACTGAACCCACAACCGTGGTGTTATTAGCAACATGCTCTAACCAATACACCACTGCAGAAAAGGCAATCACATCAAGTCACATTTGTCTGATAAACAACAATGATTTAAAGGCCAAGCATGCTTATGTTTTATGTTTCTCAGAGTGCACAAATACAAATTAATTAAAGTTTACTTCAGGCTGTATATCAAAACCTGTTTACCAAAATATTTCTGAGAATTTATCTGAGGAAGGAGTGCAGCTGAATTCAGTTTGAGAGTAAATAACAAGTGTGTGTTTTACTGCTGGTATGGTCTTAAAAGTGGCTTAAACATTTCATGTGGGGCCAACTCATCACATTATCATTTGTCCTAAGGAATACATGCCACAAAGAATAAACTGGAATCTGACCTCATTGCTTTTGGGGTAGTGGTAATTTACACCTCCCCTTGTTGAGAAGCAGGGAGTTTTAATCTGTGTCTCATTTGCTGGAACACAAAGGGCTAAAAAGCTCCTTCATATCACCTCCAGTCTCCTCTTACTTGTCTCTGCTTGGCTTATGGCTCACAGCACACAGGAGTCACTCCTGCTACTTCCTCTGTTCAGCAACTCAATGCATCTCTGTGCTGCTCTGCAAACTGTCCCTGAGTCAGGTTTGAGGCCAAATTAGCTGCTCCTTTGCCTGCCACAAGGCCTTGGAAGCTAACTTGGGGCAACCCTACTCGTATTCCTAGAGAGATTTACATGCAAAGGCATTGAAGTTTGTAGGATTCTGACCAGGCTCAACAGGACTGTGTGGATGCAGCCAGTCTGACCATGATCATCTAGAATATCATCAGTCTTGATTTAAGGGTTATGTAAATGCTCAAAGTTAGCCAAGGCTGGAGTACCCCTAGTTTCATATGGTTGAGTTACCTTATGGCGGCTTTCTTTTGTTGCATGTAACAGTGAAATTGAAGTTAGAGCTCAATATTTTAAATCAGCTCCTTCTCCTACAGAAATGAGCACAAGTGCACTTTTGGATGCTCTGCCTTTGTTCTAGTTCACATATTGGATTGTAGCTAGGATTGTTCCAGAAGAGCAAAAACAAACTTGTGGCCCATTAAAACCAATGTAAAGCCCTCATAACATAAGCCTAAGTATAAAATATGATTGTGCATGTCAAAAACTGCACTTGACATGCAGTGGAATATTGGAGACAAGCAGCTCAGGGACATGAATGGTATAGTAAACACTAAAAGAGAAGAGAAAGAAAATAGAGAACTTGTGCTTGTCTTCCCCACTCCTTTTCAACTCATGGGATGTTTTTATTGGAAGCAGTTAATTGTGCTGATAGAGATTTCATATTCCAAAAGGGAATGTAATTTGGCAAAATATTCTAGCTTTCAATACAGACAGATGAATACAGGGTAACCTTTAAAATCGCCATAGAATAAACTATTGAGAAAGAAAACAGACACATGGAGAGACCATCTGCAGGTTCTTTGAATGTGCAGAGCTGTAGAACACCATCCAGTCTGATACCAAGTCATTTTTAAGCATGTTAAAATGGTACATATACATCTGTCATATTCAAAAAGAGCAAAGATTAGGCTTTCATTCCTGTTTAGGATCTCCCATAGCAGCTACTACAGTATTTATACACTGAACAGATCTGAAAGCAGCAGCACATGATAGACTTCAAACAGAAATGTGCATCTTTCTGGCTCAGAAAGAGTCCAGCCAAGGTTGCAGGTTTTTGTTTCTGCCTATCAAGAAAAATGCCTTGGGAATATAGAAATGTTCCAAGGGTAGCAGATACTAGTCTAAAGCCATGTGGCATTTCCTTTGCCACTGCTATCCCCTTGGCCATGAATTTTTTCTCTGCAGTGCTCACATACCTAAGCCTTGCTTCTGTAAACCATGCAGGCCAGAGGGACTCCAGTTGTCTAGGTGACTCATGGAAAGAGAGCTTACTGAGGGAACTGAGGCCTAGGAAACTGATAAATCATGCCCAGAGCTTCATTTGGAAGCAGAAGCGTGTTGAAAGTCAGCAATGAGAGAGTGTATTTTCATGTCCTGCACAGGAAGCAGGTACCATGCTCTGCAAATACTGAAACATAGAACACTTTCTCCTTATCAATTCATGCACAGCAGTAAAGCAACCTAACACTTTATTTTTAAAGCAACACATACATCCAGGTTTGGCTGTGTGCATAGCAGATGTCAAAGAATCTGCACTGCTTTGACAAACTTCAGCAGATGCCACTGTAAGGTGATGGACTACTGGCTTGGCCTTTCTTCAAAGTATTTTCCTCCTGCTGTCGGCAACTGCTCTGTTTTGTTTGGATTTAGGATAAATCAGCAAAGTTCTGTCTGCAATTTGAGATGATGCAGTGATGGTTACATTGAAGGAAAACAAGACATAGGGCTGAATATTCCACTCCTGTAAAGATTTTGAGAAGGACAGAGAATCATTCCCAGCAAGGTCTGCATAGATAACAAGTTGTAGTGAAAAGAAGATGCTGTTGCCACTGTCTGACTAAAATCATCCAATCCATGTGTGCCATGCCAGCAGCTCTCTGCAGGCTGCTATGGGTATGGTACAAACATGCTGATACTGCAAATGGTGTGGGCACTGAATCCTCACTTGCAGCTCCAGGGAGGCTGGGACAGGACCAGTATAGGGCAGAGGTCTCTGATGGCTGCTATGGGTATGGTACAAACATGCTGATACTGCAAATGGTGTGGGCACTGAATCCTCACTTCTTGCAGCTCCAGGGAGGCTGGGACAGGAGCAGGACAGGAGCAGTACAGGGCAGAGAGGTGCTGCTGTTTGGGCACCAGGAGATCAAGGCTCAGTTCTCAGCTTTGCAGAATCTCTCTTTCTAAGCTTAGACAAATCATGTAAGTCCTCTGTGATTCAGTTCATTACATATCTACTCTATAAATTCCTGCTTGCTAATAGCCCCTTCCATTCTACCAGAAAATGAGGTGAGTAAAATGTGACCACTAAGCAGGACAATAAGCTGTTCCAGAGGTTAAGGACATCTGGTCTCTGACATGTGTTTAACAAAACATGTGCTGTATAATGATGACTCCTAGTGGAACGGTGTTTTAAGTGTTGCCAAATTGAACAAAGACAATCTTGATTCTGGCAGTCACTTTTTCTTCCACCTGGGGGTTCTCATACTGAATGCAGTGGCGTACTCAGTGTCTACCTCCCTTCCTCCCTCTCAGTCTTTTCCCTCATACTTGAAAATTTCTATTTATATGTCTTCTAATATGTTTAAGTTGTAGAGGGAGATGGATTTTTCATCACAACTGAACTAGAGATTTTTTTCAGGGAATGAAAATTGGACAATGAAACTTGCACTCTTCCAAACAGTGAATTGATACTTAACTATCTTGATCAGATTAGACTGTCTTAATTTCCCTCTCCATGAGTTAAACCACAGGAGTCAGAGGAGAAGTTTCTCTGTCCAAGAACCAAAGGCATGTTTCTGACAAATTGTGGCTATTTCTGTCAGCTCGATAATTTTCCTAGGAATGATAATTTGAGTATAGAGGGATGTAGTCTGTCACAGTGAGGCTTTGATCAAAGCCTACAACAGCTTCCCCCAGCATTTGGATGTTTTTATTGCTGAGAAAGTGGCAGTATTTTTTGGCTGCTTTGTCAGCTCTGCCTTTCCTACAGAGAAGGTAATAATGCCCATTAGAAGCTTGAACAAGCAAAATGGGACAGGATTTTATCAGTCCATGTTCAGTGCAACCACTGCATCTCACACTTTCTTTTTGGTTTTCCTCTTCTCTCATTTATCCCATCCTTTGATTCCTCTTTCAACCTTTGGCCATTAGTTCATCCACATCAACATCATCATTATTTTGTAGGTTTTACTAGATTATTTCTGAGAGGATTATTTCCAGAGAAACTATTTGTTCCCTTAAAAGTCTTTTGAAGTGCTTAAATTCCACAGTTATTTTCTAGCAATTTATTTTAAAAGTCATCATTTTTCTGTGTTAGAAGAACATTAATTTCAATAATTAATCATTCAACTAAATCTTGAAAAAGCCATGTAATTGCAAGGCTGTTGTATTTTCTCAGGTGCTTGCATAGTTGGCTGCACATCTGCGCACGAGGTTCTGGTGATACTCGTTTTACTCCTCTAAATAAGGACTTCAGTAGCAATCCTTTAACTGAGGAAACACAGATCTATCTTCCACCTCCTCAACAATTTTTGAAATGCATATGAGATTTTAAAAATCTCACTATTTAAATTATATATTCTAAATTGAACTCCTTCTTACCGAGAAGTGTGCTAGACTTCCAAAAACTGCATAGATTAATTAGTTTACTAAATATATATTGTTATATAAATATATATAAGATATCTTATATATATATTATATATATGTCTTTTATATATATGATATACATCTTATATAGATATTTATAAGATATATATATAAGATATATGTTATATATCTGCACTAAATTGTTGGCAGATAAACTTGTCACCCTTCAAGGCCTTGTTTCCATGCCAGCAAACTGGTTCTAGTATTTCTGCTGCCCTGGTGTATTTGGAAGAGTGGCACTTTCTGAGGCTGTGAAAAGTGAGCAGTGGCCCTGAAGTGTGGAAGCAGATGAAGGGAGCTGAAGGAAGCACATCACAGTGATGGGACTGTTACAGGGGTGTTCCTCTAAGGAAGATCACCAAGGCATGGTTTGCACCCTGGTGGGAGATTGCAGGCATGGCTAGGACTGGTTTTAGCCTCCAGAGTTTCCATAATGATTGCTGTGAAGCAGAGCAATGGAATGGAAAGAGAAGGGCCAGGAACACCCTGCTGATGTTCTGTCTGATCCTCACGGTGTGCACTGTGTGCGTTTTTGCAGATAAACCAGACCCACCTGCCGGAACCCCTTGTGCGTCAGACATCCGGAGCTCCTCCCTCACGCTCTCGTGGTACGGCTCCTCCTATGACGGCGGCAGCGCCGTGCAGTCCTACACTGTGGAGATCTGGAACTCAGTGGACAACAAGTGGACAGACCTCACCACCTGCCGCAGCACCTCCTTCAACGTGCAGGACCTGCAGGCTGACCGGGAGTACAAATTCCGCGTGCGAGCTGCTAACGTCTACGGCATCAGCGAGCCCAGCCAAGAGTCTGAGCTGGTAAAGGTTGGAGAGAAAGAAGAAGGTAAGTTCTTACGAGGAAAAAACCATCTCAATCCAATAGAACTCTTCCTTGAGAGTTCCTTAGTGAGGCCAGAGAGCTGCACATCCTCCTTCCTACATGTCTCTGTGGCTGTAACTGTGCTGAGGTCCTTTACAGACTTCATTTGGGTGTCTGAGCACATCAGTTTTGCCGTGTGGAAACTTGGCTTCAGGGATCCCAAATCCCTGCCTTGTGAAAGCAAGCACTAATTCTCATTCTGGCTTGCTGGGTAAGTGCTGGCTGAAAAAATTCTGCAGTTCAGTGCACAGGTAATGGGAAATGAAACCTTTCACAGATGTTACACATTCAGTCCATGCCCAGTTGGAAAATGATGGTTGGTAGCTTAACTGAAATAAGCCAATGCTGTAATCATTATAGTTTATACTGGACACACCATGGAAAAACAAACCATAAACACTATCCCAAATTTGATTTTGGAAATAATGAATGTGCTTGCTGCTAGCCAAGCACAGAATATGCAGCAGAAAATAAATTGGCACCTTGCAGCTAGCTGTGTTTCCCATGCTTTCAATCCCAGCATGATAGTGTACCTCAGTCCTGTGTCCCCTAGTAGAGCCAGCTTGTGAATTCAAGGCTATCCTACTTAGCACGTTGGTTTTGCAGCATTATGGGTGCCAAAATATTTTTTAGAGTTTTTAGTTAGAGTTGCGTGTACTTTTAAAAATATTTTTCCATATTTTTTACTTCTTAATTGTTTTTTAAGATCTTCTCAAAGGGCTAATAGGGAGAGTTTGATCATTGTAGAAATTATTCAGGAACTGGTACAAAACTTGAAACACACAAATGTCAGCATTATTTTTCAAAACCAGAAAGTGACCACATATTTCTGTGCATACCTCCACCTACCTTCTGTGCAAGGATGACTTTGATAGTCATCTTGCCAAAAAGCCCAGACCAGGAATAACAAATTCTACCATTTTTCCTGGTTTTGAGCAGTGAACTGGGTGTTGTGTCTCTCCCTCTTCATTTATGTGTGCAGGGCTTTAGAGCTTGAACTGTTCCACATAACCCTTGTGAAGTTATCTTTTATTGCTAAAGGAAGACAAAATGGTAGCAAAGTGATGCAGCATCACACAACTGTGTAAGCTCTCAAACAAAAGTAAATCATATTTCTCTTCAAGTGCTAAATTGGATGCATGCTGAGGAATCACTTCCCTCTATTTGCAAGATTTAAAACCAGTCTAAATCAAGATGCACCTTCTCTTCAAAGTGGGGAAAATAACATTAGGAGTAGCAATAAAATTGAAAGGAAGCTAGATGGTATTGGCTCTTCATAATAAAATTCTCTGTGTTTGAATGCCCTCTTCTTTAGTTGCAGGACAAACATCTAGGGCTGGAGACCTGACTCTTCTCTTTTTTTTCCTAGAGCAACCACTACCTATATTGGACCAAACAAGTTATTTTTCCATTTAAGTCTGAGCATTTTCTTACATAGATTTAGTACAAAAGGCTAGAAAGTGTATGAGTCATTGCAATACACATTTTTTAAAAAGCGCCAAAAAGGTTGTTTTCAGCAGAAAGAAAATGTATTCTGTTTGCAGGAAGGGGGAGGTTGTCTTTGTGCTCTCAATTCTAGAGCTTATTGATTTCAATTCTTGATACTGCAGATAGTGTGGAAAAAGAGCAAATAATTTAAAGTGTGATTTTTCAAGTGTGAGAATATAACTGGTGCTTTAATTAAAGGCAGTGGAAAAGGCATGTGTTCAGCACCTGTCAAAGTCAGGACTTTAAGCTGCCTTCTTTGTGAACACTTAGCTGAGTAACTCAGGATTTTCTAGGCTGCCAGGAAATCTGATTACTGATTTTCATACTGAGGTGGCCAGCACATATTAGCAATGTCAGTATAATCTTAGTGAAGAAAGGCATGGCTAAATTTTCTCAGTGCATTTGAAGAAAACTAAAATAAGGTTGTAAATCTCAACAGATTAAAGCGTGCATTGCCATGTTTGAGGAAAATTTGGTACTGTCGACTGACTTCCGAGAAAGGTTTTAGCACAGCTGCTCAGCGCTTACCAAGCTCAGATATGTACCACTTAGATAATTTAGGCTTCCACTGCTGGACCAAACTGTTCCTATTCTGTGGCTTCAATGCAGTGTCGCTGCAGAACCGGGCACTGACTTCTTGTCTAAGCAGTATTTGGCAGACATTACCTACTGGCAGCCTGGCTGGGAGCAGCTCCCTTACACAGCCCTTAAAAGGGGAGGAAAATGTTATGTGCTCTGTGCAGGAGTGGTTTGTAGCTGAGGAAGGTCCGAGAACAGCTACCCTGGGTGGGGAAGGCTCCGTTCCCTCCCTGCTCTTCTGGTAGATCTCTGCAAACCAGCTTTCTGTGCAGGAATATGCAAGGGTTGCAGCTCCAGACAAAAAAGAGAGGAAGGCTTTAGAAACAGGCTTTATTCACTTGATTGGCTTTGCTACCAGCACACAGATGCAGCATTGTGTAGGATGTGAAAGGGTCTGATGCCTCAGACCAAATATCTGCTCCCCCTGCACCCTTTATTTCTGGTGTTCTGTTCTTCTCATTCTCTGCATCTAACTCTGTGCTCTAAAGCACTTAACAGCACCCAGAGTACTGCATTTATATAATAACACAGATCTGCTGACACAGGGGGGATAAATCCCTTGGTTAGGCTTGCACCCCATGATGGCAAAGTGCAGCTTCAGCAGCTACAGGACAATCAACAGATCACTGTGTAACAAACCACCTTTGCAGTTTTCAAATCACTGGTCACAGCCACAGGTCTTAGGAGCAAGCCAAGTGTAAGTAATGTATAACAACATGCCAGCTATAGCCCCTTTCCCCTTATACCCTCAGGCAGAAAGCACTGCTACAGGCAGTTCATGTATATGAAAATTAGAAATGAAAATCAGGACACTCAGGCCAGCTTTTAAAACTCTGACTTAGGTCACTGGGTTCACCTGTCTTTGAGTCTGCCTGCAGAACTCAGGCTCCTTTTGAACCTCAATGATTACAGAATTTAGCTATGCTCAGGGGAATTCATGCTGTTCAATTTTCTCTGTATTTGGAGTCTGAAAGGTTTGTCTGGATGCTTTGTAGGGAATATATGAACTTGCCTAACTTGGCTTCTCAATTGAAAAAAGGCACATCAAAGCCAAGAAAAAATTGTAATGGAACAAGAAGTGTTATTGATTTTAATATTTTTAATTTATTTTCTATTTCCCTGAGGCATTCTAAAGTTATTTCTTAGATTACTTTGAACTGATGCAGTATGCTGATATTTCTAGTAAGCAGGTATAATTGACAAGTACTGCAAACCACAGGAATGTGATTTATTCAGAAACGGTGACTAGATTGTGACTGGATAGTCAATAGTGATGAAGAAGTGGTGAAGAGATTTTAATTATGAAGTTAATGCACAAACACCCTGACTACTTTTTGTTGTTTTGCCATAGGGTCTATCAGTTGTCCATGTCACTTTGAATAATCCATGTCACTTTGAATATCTTATATAAGTGAATATAATTATATAAGTATATATCCCATATAAAAAGCTATTAATGTATTTTTATTTTCCTCACAGAACCCAAAGGGGATGAAGTGGAGCTATCTGACGATGGTAAGAAGTGCATGTTTAAAACAGGACAAATACAAATCTGTGTTCTTCATTCACACTTTCTGGAGGTTTATAATCATGGCCCCTAATGCTTATTTGTAGAGGAGAAAGAAACAGAGGTGGAATATCGGACGGTTACGATCAACACTGAACAGAAGGTGTCAGATGTCTACAACATCGAAGAAAGACTGGGATCGTAAGTACTGGGCTGTGCTGTTGAAGACACACAGTTTTCAAGGCTACCAGCCAGTTACGAAGATCATGTGCATTTATTCTTTGACTGTCTTGCAATTTCAACATCCCAGTTGGGCTCCTTTGTTGCAGTAAAAATAGTTTTCAATGTATTTTGGCTTCCACTCCATAAAGATCCTTTGCTCCTATTAGCTGATTTTAAATAGGCACTACATGTATTTCTGGCAAGGAGAATGGAGCCCACATATGAAAAAAGCTAGAGGATTCATTCTTTTTTCACTGTCCTAAAAGCTATCTGAAAAAAAAAAAAAAAGGTACGCATTGTGTACTTGCATTTCCATTATATCCATTAGTGGTAATAAGATTATCCTGCCCACGGGCTGGAATCTCTGTTGACAGTGGCCATAATCCCAAGAGCATTAATACTATTGCTGAGAGAAGGTCAGTGATTAGCTTGGCTGTGTTTCTCAGGGCCCCAGCTCGTGGTGGTGTGAACTGCAGGCCATGATAATCCTTCAGTGATCGGTGCTGAAGGCCAGGGGATCCTCTGTGCTGCCACGAACAAATCCTGAGAAGTGTAACACAGAGGTAGAATTGTACATTACAGCAAAGGGAAACAATAGTACTGAAGCCTTGAGCATTCAGATTCTGATTTCACCTAAATCCTGTAACTGACATGTCCCATCTTCAGAGGTGTATGACCTATAGAAAACTGTGTGCAGAAAGACCTGAATTAAAGCCTGGTAGGAGTCCCAATTTTGGAACCCTCCTGTATAAGACTTGTTTAACTGGAGTGGCACAGTATCTCTAAACATGGTATTCATTCAAAAGTTTTTGCAGATCAGTATAGAATAACACTTGATACTAAGACATTTTAATTTCAGAATTGAATGGTTGTGCTGGAATATTTAGTAAATTGTTGCTATTTGTGGTGGCCCATATATTGCAAAAACATTTTATGGAAATAGTTATATATTTTCAGGGGAAAATTTGGACAAGTCTTCAGGCTTGTTGAAAAGAAGAATGGAAAAGTTTGGGCAGGAAAATTTTTCAAAGCATATTCTGCTAAGGAAAAAGAAAACATAAGGGAAGAAATCAGCATCATGAACTGCCTACATCATCCAAAACTTGTCCAATGTGTAGATGCCTTTGAAGAAAAAGCCAACATGGTTATGGTTTTGGAAATGTAAGTATAAAGCAAAGCACACTGACAAAGTTAATAATGTTGAAAATAGTTGTATGTACAAAAGTAGCAACTTACAGACACAGGACTGTCAAACCCTTCATGATTTGCATAGCCTGGATGGTTTTCAGATCTTGCAAATTTTTCCAATTATTTATAGAACTTCTTTAAGCTGTGTAAGTGAATCTGTGTTAATCTTTTAAAAATCAGTCAAAATCTGCTACAATTGTTGTTGTCTAGTTTGCTTGTTTCTTAAAGTACATGTGGTGGGGTTTTGCAGCTTTACTCTTATTGCCCACTTGGGAGAGGTGAGAATAGAGTTAGCTGCATTTTGGACTTTGATTTGAACCTAAAATGTGTTTGAGGAGGAGAACTTCTTTTACTTCAGGCAGTTCTAAACATGTGTTGAACAGTCTTCCAAACAATAATAGCCAACATAAGCAATATTTATATCATCCATAATGCACCTGCTTAGTGTGAATCCCATACTTGTGGCAGTACCAACTGGAAAGAAGATTAAATCCTGATCTGTGCTGATGTTTTCCCCAAAAAGTTACTTTAGTTACAGTTCTGCTGCCACAGCGACTTCAAGGGCTCTCTGATGCAAGGAGAAGCAGTGTTGTATTTTTTTTTTTTTTTTTTTTTTGGGTTTTTTTTGGTTGGGTTTTTTTTTTTGTGGTTTTTTTGGGTTTTTTTGGGGTTTTTTTGCTGGCTGGAAGTTCTAAGTCAGATATAAATTGTTTGAGGCAAAAGAGACTATATGTCTATTTTGCTTCCTTGGCACTTGCTTAGATTATGTGCAAACTACTACTGCACTGGCATATTTCAGAGATGGGATTTTACAACCCTGGAACTTATGTGCAGGAAGGTGTTTTTATTTTTAAATTGAGCAGTTGAGCAAACTGCCGATGGTGAGGGAAGGGAACCCTACTTAGCTTGGAACTGATTGCTGGCAGACCTAATGGAAAACAGGGAGATGTATAAAGAGTCTGGAAGAGCATATGGCTTTACATTCCATTAGTTCCCCCCTGACAGCAAAGGGGTTTTACTCTTTAAAAATGTGGAAAACTGCAATCAAATTTGAAGCAGTTTTGTCACCCAGCCTCAGGAGGATGTGGTTTTAGTCTGGGGTGAACAGGTTCTCTGGTTTTTGAGCCCCCCAACATTGCACTGTGTGGAGCAGCAGCAGAGCAGGTCTGGGCAGTGAGGTACTGTGTGGCACCTCGAGTCAGGTACCTGGGAGCCTCTCTACTCTCATGTTACCCAGCTGACACAATCCCAGCCCAGCAGCTGCACCTCTGTTGGTAAAGGGCCTCCAAGGGATCATTTCTGCTGTAGTTATTAATATAATATTTCTTTGCATATCAGAGAACTCGTGGGAAATAGCTTTTAAAGTTATTACAATCCAAGCTGTTTGTTTCATTTCTGTCAGAGTTTAAATGCATGGATTTCAAATAAATCAAGCTCACTTGCTATCAGTCTGCTTTAAATCAGATTTTAGTAATGACTGGCATTTAGGAACTCCCCTTCTACTCAAATTGATGAGAAGCACCCTTAGATTTTTCTTCCTGTTATTTGTTCATTTTAATTTTATTCCCATACCTTTCCTGGAACCTTTTAAACTTCATACTCTCTGTTTTTAATATTTCTGATTACACTATTTTATATGGTTTGATTTAATATTCAAAATAAAATCAGATTTTTTTTTTATTATTACTTTTAAATTAAACACTATAATGATGTGCTTTTGCCTGGAGTCCTTTCCCTCTAACATTTACTGGAAGTCAGAGGCAAATCTCAGACATTTCCTTTTCAAATATAGGAACGTATTGGTCCCACCATAAGAATCTCAGTGGAAAAAGTAAATCTGAAAATAGTAGCATGCTGCCACTTTAATTCAGCACTGGGAGCTAAGTGCCTCAAGTTTTATATACTTCAGATAGCCAGTTTATTTTGACATAGAACAGAAGGAGATTATTGTATTGCAAATTAAGATTATTGGAGCAAAATCTCAGCACTAAGTTCTATCATTTGAAGTGATTTAAGATAGTACAAGTTCCTTGGGCTTTTTCTAAGCTAGATTTTTAAAAATGCAGTTGAGTATCTACCCGGGCAACTCCAAGGTAGATTCTTCTCACTCTTCCTACTGGACCAAATCCTTAGATGAGTATTCTGTGATTCCACAGATAGAATGGTTTCCTATATGACTCATGTAGAGAAGACTGAAAAGAGGAGAATCCAGAAAAAATAGAGATTTGGATTCTGAACTAGTTGTGACTGAACAAAGCCAACTTCTCTTCCTGTGTATGTGTAGGATCTCATTCACATTGATTTTATTCAGCTTCTTAACCTGGCAAAAATCAAACTGGATTTGGCTCCTGATATAAATGCAGGAGTATTCATGCTATAAATGCATTGCAGTTTAATCTACCATTGCTACCAGGATGTTGAGAGCTCCCATGATAAAAACAGCAGGCAGGTGTATTAACAGTGGTTTATTTACAAAAATATCTAGTGGTGCTTGAGACAATGGTACAATTTCTGAAAAGTTTTCCCTTTGGGGATCTGAGAAGGGTGGCATTTTTATAGTACAAATAAGTCATCACTTCACTATCTGTGTTAAAAAGTCAGAAACAACTGGTGCATTTTAGTATGAGGATGATTATCATTTTTAGTTGCAGAGTACTCCACATATAAACGTTTTGCCTGCAGATGTTTTCCTAAACACCCATACTGGTTAATGTCTTAGCAAAGCAACAACGCACTAGATCCCCTGCATGTTTATTCAACAGGTCTGGCAATACTATTGCTTTATGTTACAAATGTGCTCTAATCCAACATAACCTCTCAGTTTGTCAAGCACATGCTCTTTTTACTATTTTCATATTTGTAGGAAACCACAATAGCATTTCTAATGACATATTTTCTGAAATTTTATAGCCAAATCAAGAAATGCTTCCAGAACTTCAGATGTTTCAAATTCAGTTTGTTTCATGAGGGACATAATCATGTATCTGGCAACCCGCAAACACGGCAAGGCCGCCTTTCAGTTGCATGTTTTCCTTCTGTAACTGCAACGTGCAATTGCATTTGGCAATAACCATGAACGCTGAAAATATTAAACCATATAAAGACCACAGTGTGTTTAATTTTTAAAAGCAAAGCTGCTCTTCACTATGTGCTCCTTTCTTTATGGGTCATTCACCCGCAGTGTAAGAAAAAAGTATTTCCCATCTTTGGATGCAAGCAGATAAACCAGTTGAGTGATTAATCAAAATAAAAAAAAAATAAAATCAACAAAAAATCCCAAAGAAACAAAACAAAACCCAAACTTAAACAAAACTGAATGAAAAAACCTACCAAACCCAATAAGCCACAATTTAAATTATGCTTTATTAAATCTAGGTTAAAAATGTCCCACTTCAGTTGCATGAAAAGTTCAATCCAGGAGATGCTACCCTGGAAAGAACAATTATTTCACATCCTAAATTAGCATTAAAATGGAATTGACCTACAAGGAGTGTGATCAGGGCTCAGCTAAAAATACCAACACAGTGTTGTGGGTTATATCCTTCTCCTGTCATAGCTGAGGAGGAAATTCCCTCTCAGCTCACTTGGGTCAGTAATTTACCCTTTGAGCTTTGCATTCCAGTTAACCATACCATCGGAATTCTTCCTCCTTCAGCCTTAGTCACTCTCAATCTCTCTTCTTCCTGAATTTTTGCTCATCTGCTTGCAGCTTTATCCTCTTTCCCTGGGAGCCATTCCATGTATTTTAGTTTCATTTCTAAATCACGTTATCTGTACTTGTGCATTGCTGGATCATAGGAGGGAAGGGAGAAGTGGGAAGTGTGTGCTCAGGGTCGGGAGCACCTGTCTGCAGGGTGGCAGTCATGGAGCACACACCCCACTGTCAGCTGCAGGTGACACAGTCCTAGAGGCAGGATGTAAACCCCCCCTGCCTGGAATAACAACACTGGTGTTTCACCTTCCTCACCTGCAACGCATTCAGAACAGAAAACATCTATTGATTTATACCACACAAAGAGGGGATTCTTCCCATGTGACCCTTGTGTCTATGGAAAATGGCATTTTAAAACAAGTTTGCATCCTGAAGTGACTGCTGAAAGCTTAAACTCTCTGTATTGCTGTAAAAAGAAAGCCTAATTATTCTCCAAATGAGTATGTTACAGAAATCTCTTTTTATTCTGTCTTTCATAGGGTTTCTGGAGGAGAACTCTTTGAACGGATCATTGATGAAGACTTTGAACTGACAGAGAGAGAATGCATTAAATACATGAAGCAGATTTCAGAAGGAGTTCAATACATTCATAAGCAGGGTATTGTCCACTTGGATTTGAAGCCAGAAAATATTATGTGTGTCAACAAGACTGGTACCAGCATCAAACTCATTGACTTTGGTCTTGCAAGAAGATTAGGTAAGGAATTCTCTGCCTATTTCGGTATCATGGAGGAAAGGGCAGGACAAGCAGTAATTCATGCTACCTATTATATAGAGAGTAAATGTTTCCTATAAATATTTCTGGTTTTAGGAAAAAATAAAAAAAGAGAAAAAGAAGACATTCAAGAATGAGAGTAGGGCACTTCATCTTAAAGAGGAGTTTGCAGTGAGATATACAGAATTTACCTTTTTCCACAGCAAGATATCCCTGTAGATTCCACCTAAAATACACAGCAATACTAGTATTAAAAAATATTTACATTTGGTACCATAAAGCACTAACTCTCTAACTAAATACTTCATGAATACTACAAATCCTTGAAACTTTTTTAACAGCAGAAATTAAGGTGATGCACTAGAAGCCTTTCAGATAATTACAGTAATTTTACATTTTCCTGTCATTTTTATCATTTCTTATCTTAAACAGCAGGATATTGTCATACATGTTAAACATAAGAGGAATTCTATAAAGAGCTGTGTAAGAGCACTATTTAAAAATAATGCAACAAGGGGAAATTCTGACAAGCCCTTCCTCTTCCTACACTGCTTTTTAGCTGCTTTCCATCATTCATTTTGGTCTAAGCTTCCAACATGATCTGCAACTTGAAAGCCAAAGACCTTCAAAGGTTCTTGTCTTCATATTGTTCAGCTCTAAAAAGATGCCCTTCAGTTGTATTTTCAGTGTTAAACATTAACAACATCCCACACTGATCTTTTTTCATTTTGTATTTTCTCAAAAGAAATAAAAATCATTCCAGGAATTAGTAGGAAGAAAAATAGTTTATGAACCTGTTACACTGGGAGAGCTGATATTTGTGGGTGTCCTGACATTAATTGATTGGGACAACTTATATTAATTCCTACTCTCTATATAATGGGGTCCACTGCTGGATTTTTGCTTGAAATCTTTTGCCTTCCCTCTTTGAAAAATAATTAATTTTAAAAAATGTAATACTTATTTAAAAGTAAATAATGATTTTTGAGAGAGTACAGGTGAAATACTACCACCTATCTTTTGTTATCTGCCTAAATGTAGTTCATCCTACTTCTTGTGATACTTAAGTAACAGACTACTGCATTCCCAAGAATATAATTTTACTAAAACAAACTAGGAATGCTTTGTTGAATGAATAAGGGAAAAGAAGTCTGTGTGGAAGAATTTTAGATGATGTTCTGCTCCAAAAGTGTATTAAATAAGTCTTGGTCACATGGATACTCAGATGTTTATATTATTTATTAAAAAAGGAGATCAAGCCATTTCTGTTCCTTCACCAATATAGAGCCAGTAGTGTTCTGGGAACATGAACTGATTTAGTTCTTATTCAGGAAACAGATGAACTGTTAACCAAGTTCCACTGATGGTATTTTTGTGTGAGAGATGTGGGAAAGATTTCAGCCCATGGTGTTCCAGCTGTCAGCCTGAAAACTGTACATTTACTGCTGCACTGAGTGGATTTCATCAACAAGAGATATAAAGTAAACATGGAATGGCCTTTTTATAGAAACTTCTTCAGCTACCTTTATAACTTCAGACCATAGTTAAACCCACATTTAGCAAACAGAAGATCCTATTTTCAGCAGCCTGTTCACATGCACCAGCTTTCCCACTTTCCTGGTAATCTTGTGGCATCACAGCGCAGGCATGGCTGACAGCAGCTTGTGAGCTGCTCCAGTCATGCCATAGGTAGGAAATCTCTAAACTCCAGATAACTTCTCTCAGTGTAGAAGGATGACAGCTGTGGGCATTAATGCTGATTCTGATTTTACAGCAGTGTACATTCATTTGGCTTAACATGCTGCTAATTCTTGCCAGGTTCCATTGTAGGTATTTGCTATTCATCAGCCTGCCATTCTGGGTAACTCCACCGCGGGTGGAATTCCCTAGCAAGAGAAAGGTCCTTTCCATTCCATGCTCAGCAAGCATAAGCACTGTTTTAATTGCAAAAAACAATTGTAACATTTCAGTTCCAAGAGCAGAAAGCAACTTTTACTGTTTCATTTACTTACAAAAATAGCTAAAAACACTTCACTAATGCCTGCTTCTTGCCAGTTCGCTTACGTGGTGCACGGAGGGCACATTCCTCCTCCTTGTGTTCCTTCAAGCTTTGTGACTTTGAAATTGGCTGTCAAATTCACGTTGACATTGATAGATGTGGGATTGGAGCCCTCATCCTACAGACCTGACCCTGACTGAGCAGAAACTGGTCAGCCAAGGGATTGCTGCAGGGAGCAGTGGCTGATTCTGCACTTCAACTTCTGAGATTTAACTTCTTGTAACTAATGCAAACTACTGCCTCTAAATATTCAGTGTTTTGATCAGCTTTAAAGATATTAGGATCAGCTCCTTCTGCAGTCATCTCCTGCAGCTAATTAGCTCCCTTACACTGTCAGGAAATACCAAAGCTGCAGTGGGATATTTTCCTGACCTTTTTTGGTGTGCTGAGGAACACATGTAGAAAATTGTTTAAGATAAACTTCTTGAGAAGAAAGAGAATGGTTTTTGAGTACTGTAAAGATACATTTTTTAATCAGTTGATTATATACAGTGTCAGCAACAGTTTCCAGCTAGCTTGTCAGCTTTCTATCTGAACTAAGGGATATCCAAACACAGATCTTGCTTGTGTACTAAGCTTGTAAACTAACTGGGTAAAGACTTGACATATTACTGCATGGAAAGGGTCTTACTCTTTTCCTTTCTTTTTTCTTTTATACACAGAAAATGCTGTCTCAGTTTCACACTGTATGTTTGCACTCAAATGCCATGTTTTCAAAAAAACCCCACATTTCTCTGACCTGTGGGCAGCACATTTTATACATCAGCCTTTTGCATACACAGCTGCTCATGGTAGTTTACACAGTGCACAGAAAAGCCTCCAAACTTGGATGTGAAAATATGAGCCTGAGATTTAGATGATCATGATGAAGCTTTTAGAAAATAGGAGCATTGTGATAAATTTCAGTAATTTCTTTTAAGGACAGTTTGAAAAAAATGTAAGTGTTGACTTTAAAATGAAGGCAGGTGGCAAAATGGGATTTTAGGCTTCCTGTTGGCATTTCAAAAAGGAAGGTGATCTCTCACTCCTCATTGCCACTGTGGAGAACACATTGCCCTTCTTTCAGGCTGTTTTTTTAGATGCCATGTTAGAAAAAGTATCATACATTTTGGAGTAAGAAAACTCTGGTTATGTGACTGTAGGGATATTGTGGAATACTTTTTGAATGTGCTTTTTAAAGGATAGTTAGAGAGCAGGACGGTCTTGATGCTGGTGGATTTGAATGGAAGGATCTGGGTAATTTCCTGCAGCTGCTCCAGGCATCCTTCTCTCTGTTTCTGTCTCTAAAAATGGTGGGAACAGGGAAAACATGTGAAAATGAGGTTTCTGCAAATAATTTACTCTAAGCATACCTGAATAGAGCAAAAAAGGGTGTCACAGCATTTAAAATGGGAAACTGGCACAACTGCAAGTGAATTGTTGTGGTTGTGCTCCAATTGCCTGAAGCACAGTGTTCAATCATTAGGCAAGTCATTAACCCCATAGATGTTTCAGATTTCATTTGGTAAACTGGGGATTTGGGTACCTCTAAAGAGCACTCAGTCAGGTGTTTGATTGCATTCATGAAATGCCTTAAGAGCTTTCAATGGAGCTAAATTTGGGAGTGGAGTCTGTACTGGGATCAGTATTTATGTTGCAAAACTTGGTAAAATAAGTTCTGGTAAATAAAAATATTCCATTCAGATTCAGTGTTGTGGACAGGTTGCTTCTTTTGTAGACTCCCCAAAACTTTGATTTGCTGTTGTTTGAGGATTTGTTAGCTTTTCTCTTGATTGCAGAGCTGCAAATCCCTGTACTACTCCTGGTAACCTTAACAGGAGCAGGACTGGAATGTGTTACATCTGTTTGCCTTCCCATCCGTATCTGTTTTGTTTAGATGGTAATCTCTTTGGGAGAGCAATGGTTCCTCACTAGGACATTCTACTGTGCCTAATCTGGCTGCTGCTGTTGCACAAAAGATAAACCTAATGCAGTGAATCTCACTTAAGGCATACACTGGTGGTTCAGGCAGACGTGCAGACTGCACACGGATTTCTCAACCTAAATCCAAGCCTGTTCCAAGTCAGACACAACTTATATTCTGATATTTTTATATTTTTACAATACAATTCTATTACTGGGATGTGGGTTGGAGGTTTTTCTTCCACCAGTACCTAAACTTTTCCTTATTTTTCTTTCTTCCTGACCTTGCTTTTTCTTTTCTTCTTCCCATCAGATTTAGAACAAGCACTGATAAAAATGAGCCCACTGAGATTTACCTGAGAATTTCTAGCTTAATGACTCTGTGTTTCACACTATATTAGAGGGTAGACACATCACTCACTTGCACACTGGCAACATAATCTGGCAGCACTTGGTTATGAACAGGTTTTTCCCTTACCTCCATCACTGTATTTTCCAGCAGGGCAGTACTGATGGGTCAACACAAGAAGAATGACAAGCCAGTTCATGTATCTCATGACCTCATTCTTTCAGTTCACATTGGAAGCAATAGCTTCACTGTAGATCATGTTGAAAGTATCCATGGAGGGTTTAAGCAGAGCAAATCTAGAATACCTGTGCTACAGGCCAGCTGAAGAGGAGTTTGGAGCAGCTGGTGATTTTTGCTTCCTGTTCACCACACGTGTTCTTGTAGGCAGCCTGGTTTTGACAGCATGCCCAAGTCCAGTTTTACCTGTGAGGTAAATATCTGACTGGTGCACATCATCTGCTCCTTTTTTTGTTTCACTGCTGGCCTCACTTCAAATTTAAGAGGCATGCAACCCACTATTGATTTTCTTTCCTGTTTACACTAGAAGAAAATGTGTTGGATTGAAATAGTTATTTACTATTGTTACAATTTTAGCATGACTGGTTCTTTTTACCACAACATGCAGAGCACCAAGCTTTGATAAATGTTCAATAATTTGTGAAAACTGTAATTTCTTTCTGACACTGGAGTACTGCAGTTCTCTTGTGCAACTGCTAAAGGGATGGAGGCTCAAACACTTTCTAACTTCAGGACATACAAATCTGAATTAAGTACTCTCCTTTTTCACAGATTTGGTCTTGTGGAAGTTCCTTGCAATAGGAACCTTCTTATGTGCCTTATACAGTGCTGTGTGTGCTTCATGATGCTTAATAAAGAATTCCTTATTGCTAGACATGTATCAGCTACGGAAACAGCAATTCAGGCATAATTTATTTCTTCTGATACAGATCTTCAACAAAATCACAAAGATTAGGACAAATCTGGTTTTCCTGTTACTGGGCAATAACTGTTTTTTTAAAATCTCCACACAGCAGTTAATGGTTTTTTTCTCTTTCATACTTCACAGAAAATGCAGGCTCTCTGAAAGTTCTCTTTGGGACACCTGAGTTTGTGGCTCCCGAAGTTATAAACTATGAACCTATTGGATATGAAACAGATATGTGGAGTATAGGAGTTATCTGCTACATTTTGTGAGTACTTTTCTATTCTTAAATTCACAAATCCTGACAGTTTCTGAACATACAAAATTTTTATCAACTTCTCAAGTTTTCAGGCCTTTTTTGTTGTAATTAGCAGCTCCAGCATGTTTAATAAAACTTTGCTGTTCTCTGAAGGGTGCAATTGGTAAACTGCAGAACTGGCAGTTCTGGAAATTCAACTATTTGGAGCTGTACCTCTTACATCATAAACCAGCAATACTTCATCTCATTTTAAAGGACAATGTGACTGTTTTATTATTAACTTTGAACTATTTTTCCTTTCCAGATGCTAAGAGAAATATTTGAGCATGTGCTAATAACCATTAATTTCCATTATTTTATTCCATGAGAAAAAACTTTTGTGGAATTTTGGGGACTTGTGGGACCCACTAAAGTATCCCAGCATTGCCATATCTGTTCACAGTGTGTTTTAATTTATTACCAACACAAGCCACTGTATAAATGTATTTTATAAGCAGCATGGATTAAGCTCATGGAAACACTTTAGTGGATGGTTGGCTGTAGCTCTTGGTTACATATTTGAGTATTAGATTTGTTTTTTATATATTATTTGACACAGCATGTTTGTAAATATCAGTGAATATAGGGAAATGTATATATGGAAATAGTGTCTCCATGCCTAGATCATCAAGTGGTTTTCTTCCAGCAGTGATTTTACATATTTGATGCCCTATAAAAAAGAGAAAAGAGAAGCTTAGTTTGGAGCAGGGCTCCTTCTCCCTTATTCCTGCTTCAGTAGTAAGTCAGTGGCAGATCAGCTTTGCATTGGTTCTTTTAAAAGACTCCTCTCAGCGCCTTTCTTCCTTTATTAAAGAGCGGCTATCCCGCTCCTTGACCTAGCAATGCACAGTTGTTTGCCTTCCCTTTACTCAGCTTTTCTGTACTCCTGCTTTTCTCATGAGCCTGCACTTGTTCATGCTCTTCTCATCCCCAAACCAAGCAACACAATTTCCTTACTTGGCCTATGCAAAAGCTACCACATCAACTCCCTCCCGCTCCCAGCAAAGACTCGGAATATTTCTCTTATCTCCAATTTCAGATGCGAAGTGTGCGCCGCGCTTCAAGGTCACTTCGCTCTGCCACTTTATTTACAGGACTTCTACTTTCCATTCACTCCCAAGCACTTCTTTCTAGACCCCCAAGGCTGCTGTGGAAGGTTCCGTAGCTGCAGTCGGGCAGCCCACCCAGGCAGCGGGCGGTGCCCGCCGGCCCCGCTGCGGGGCTCGCCCGGTGCTGCAGCGCCGCCTGCAGCCCGCCCGGCCTTCGGGGCCGCTCCTGCTCCTGTGTCACCGCCCCTGCTCCGTGTCACCGCTCCTGCTCCTGTGTCACCGCCCCTGGTCCTGTATCACCGCTCCTGCTCCTGTATCACCGCCCCTGCTCCTGTATCACCGCCCCTGGTCCTGTGTCACCGCTCCTGCTCCTATGTCACCGCCCCTGGTCCTGTATCACCGCCCCTGGCGAGCTTCCGTGTGCTCCCGTCCCGAGCGGCGAGGCGCAGGTCGGGGCTGGCACCGGGGGATGCAGCCAGGGCTGGGGAGCGGCGGCATCGGCCGAGACAAAGCGAAGGGAACAGCGGGGAAAAGGCGACCTGTCTTGCCAAAGACCAATCTGCTTCACAGTTTGTCTGTGCCAAGCAGGGTATTTGGATGCTACACCATTCAGCTGATGGGGTTGGGTGGTGTTACAGTCATTCAGCTGATTGGATATGCCCTGTGAAATATGTTATGAAGTTACCTGTTTGCTAAAGTATATTTAAGATTATTTAATCTTAATCCCATCCTGAGGGAAAACCTGCATTACCCAAACACAATGAAAAATATTTCTTTTGATGCATTGCTATTACCACAATAATGATTAGCAGTGGTAATAAACTTTTGTCTTCCTTGCTGTAAGAATAAAGTAATAGAAGTTAGGGAAGACCCATGAGTCATCACTTGGACTCTACCTCTCCACCCCAGACTGTTCACTGCTGTGCCCATCCTCTGTCCCAAGGGAAACAGCAGGGAGTACACGACAGCATCACTTGACATAACACCTGCCTAGAAAGTGACTGTGTTTCCATGATGTGCTGCACAACAATGAATACAAACTGGCTTTAGCAGAGGGGTGCTAAGTGAAGGGTCTTCTCTGCAGAGGAATAAACGGTTGGGATGTAATCTTAAGTAAGAAGCAGGGTGACAGCACTCCTTCAAAACCCTGCAGCAAAACCTCCCCCCAGCCCTCTGCTTTGCAGATGTAAGTACAGATACTGCACTCCCTGCTGGGATACTGCATCTGTCTTCCTTATGGCAAGACTGATTTAATTCCATCCTACAGTTCATGGGTTCCCTTTCCACATTTCTAAACTACATATTAAATCCTTTTTATCTTCCTGGATAACTTATTCAGTCCTGTCTCTTCATCTGTCTTTGTTCTTCCTTAAATTTCCGTTTGTATTCTCCACCTCATGTTTTTTATCTTCCACTTTTATCTTGTACTCTGTCCTGTTCTGCATCACAGTACTGTTCCACATACTTAAGTTGATCTATTGCCTTTGAAATAACAGGCCACAAATATTATAGCTTGTGTATATCATCTCCATTTATGTCTATTTCAGTGTTTCTTTCTGCATTTACAATAATCTTTATCTAATGAAGGTTAAACCTCCTGAATTCTTTCCAGCTCTTTCTATTCCATTTATTCTTCAGGGCATTGCTGAATTTGCCTGGTTTTTTTCTATTTCTAGTTCTTTTCTGATGATCAGTTTGGATAGTCATTGTTTTGAATATTTAGTAATCTGAAACAATTCTTGTTTTTGTTTCAAACCAATTTTCAGTCTAAGTTTTCAGCACTGCATGGGCATACATTGAATGTGGGTTGCCCTTTTTCTTCTGGCACCAAAGGATCCAAGTAGTTTCAGGGAGGAATTGTCTGTGGCTGATTCAAACCCCTGCTTGCGTTCCAATGGTTCTCCTTGCTTTATCAGTGCCAGGCTGAGTTTATCTTTTCAGCATAGTGGATTTCTGTCAATTACTTTTTTTTAATATATACTTTATCTTAGGCTGTGTTTTAATATCACATTTGATATTGCTGCATACTCTTTCCCTTCAGCACTGTCCTAGCAGCACACACCCTGATTCTTCAAACATTCCCTTTCCCTTTTATCCACTGTGCTGTTCCCCCTCCCTTGTTTGGCAGTTTGGGTTGGTTGAAAGATCTTTCAGTATCATTCATCTTTTGGGTGTGCTGGCTTGGAACCTGGATAAAGCAAGGCTTACACTTGGCTCTATGTCATGTTAAAAATTTATACCTCTTTATATTAAAGATGGGAGAGCACTCCTTGTTCTTTCCTTAAACCAAGTTAGGAAGGCTTTAATGCCAGACTGTACCGCTCAAAAGAAAATGTTTTATTTGTTCAGTGGCACTGGCAAACTGAGGTTCCTCATTAATCCACTGGGCATGTGAAACAAGGAGGAGCACATCAATAACACCCTTGCTTCAGCAATGAGCTGTCTTCCTGTACATGGGCTCAGTGGTCTGCTTCTTCCAGACAAGACCAGTGTGGGTGAAGTGTCCCATGGATGTGTGTCCCTGACAAAGTATCCTCAGACTATTTATTTGCTGTAGTTCACTTGGAAAATAATGAATTCTCTACATGATCTCCAGGGGGCAGGTGTCATCATCACATGCTTATTTTGACATGTCCTGCACAGGTTTATCAGAAGTGCCAGCAGTCTCAGGCAGTTGGAGCTGCAAGTGTTGCTTACAGAGGAATGCTCACAGTCTGACCCTTTAGACAAGCAGCAAAGCCATCTTCCCTGGCTTAATGGGAGTCTTAATGCAAAGATTTCCAGTTGAAATGCTGTGTTGTTTGCTACATTGGCAATGAAATTTGCATCCACTTTGGACCCTTTCCATCATAGCATTTTTGAGTCTGCACTCAGAGCTTTGTTAGAACAGACCAATAAATGTTAAGGAGCTCCTAGAGGATAAAATATATTTCTTCTTTATTTAGAAGTGGAAACTGTGAAAGACTTTCTAAACAAATGGTTCTTAACATGCCAGGAAGATGCCTGGTAAAGTAACTGGAAAAATGTTTTCAGTAAACAGCCTGCTGCTTGTCTAAGAGTAACTTTGCAGTGTAAGCTCAGAGTTAATTTTCTGGAGCAGTAGCTCATCTTTATCACTTCAGCATTCCAAAAAGAAATTGTTTCCATTATCTGTCAAAAGAGTTGCTGGACCATTATTACTTTAAATGGCTATTAAGAAATGAACAACCAAGACTTCGGTCAGGGAAATCTGTGCTAGAGATAAAAATTACTGCCTATAATCTACACTAGTTGCTGGATTTTGTTTTCTGACTATAGACAAGGATCTAGTTCTCCTTAGAAGTATTTCCACAACAAGGAAACTGATTCACAGTGTAAAAGTGTAGTAGAGAGAAAATCATTTTAGCTTTGTAAATCTGCAACAGCACATTCAGAAATACAAAAATAGGTTCATTGAAATGTTTGAATGGGCACTGTTACACTGGTGTTCAGAAATTACAAAGTGAGTGGAGGCTTAACTGAGATCCATCTGGTAATTTAGCAAATGCATGGGACAGAGCAATCCTACCACAAAATTTTGTCAGGTCATTCTGTTGTGCAATTCTAAAATTAAAAAAAAACCAAAAAAAACAAAAAAAAAAAAACCAAATACACACAAAAACAAAAAACCAAAAACAACAACGAAAGAATTTTTTCCTTCTCTAACCTACTCATCTTTTAATTTTTCCTCACCTTTCAAAAGCTCTGCAGCACAAGTGGTGCCTCTTTTACAGCACCACGTAACAGTGGTGTTTCCACATGAAGCAACGTCCCTGTACCTAAAGCAGGTTTTTTAGTATGCATATGATCTCTCAGTACTGCAACTTTAACCTCTGGAAATAGGCCAAAATCTTGTCCAATGTAGTGCAAGAGCTGCACAGCACTATTTGTGGTAATTCTGTGCAGAGGTCACCTCTGAAATACTTTGATCAAGTATTGAAGGGAAATGCAATTGTTATTGCTCCAGCTGCCCAAGTGTGGGCACGGAGCTCAACTGGAAGCTTAACTGGATGAAGAGAAAATGCACGTCCCCTCTTTTGACAGTGAGCTAAAGGAATACCACACAGACCTGTCACTGTATGAGCTGCTGGCTTGGCTGAGACTGTTGTTCTTACCACAAGGTAAAAACGAGACAAACCAGCAGTCAGTATGTGGAACCTGCAATCAGAACTGCGCTCTGCACGAGATTTTTTCACTTGCTAAAACGTGATGGGGAACTGACATTGTCATAACTGAGCAGCAAATGTTCAGGTGTTGGAGAGGAGGTGGGTTTAAGGCCCTGCAGGAATGCTTTGTGGTTCCAGCACAGAGATTTCTGTGCCTCCTGCTGTACCTGGCCGTGAGGGCTGCAGGGGTGCAGGCAGAGCAGAGCCCGCGCTGCCCGCAGCTGTGCCAGCTCCGCAGTGCTGTCCTGTAAAGCAAACATCAAACACAGGGAACAGTCCTGTAAAAAGGCTTTGTGGAGGCATTTCTGGTGTGTTCATCTTTCAGCTTTTGGTAACTTGTCCTGTTATAGCTTCATAAATGGGTTTGTGCCACCTTACACATTTACATTCAGGATTCACTGCTGCATTCAAGTGCACCACTTCTAATGGAAAGTAAGACAGCAAATACATTCTGTTCTGATTTACCTTGTTCTGCCTGAGAATAAACAAACCTTTTATCTTCAGCTCATGTATTATTACTAAGAAGTTCCTGAAGTACACACATAAGATTCTAGAGTCTGCTGTACTGCACACAACTTCCAGAAATGGTAAAAGATTTAGTGTCTGCTCTGTGTGAGACTTCAAAGAGTGTGTGTTTCTGCTTTGCTTATAAAATAAAATGCTTAGGAACAAATCAGATTTTGAATGTAATAAGAGCCTAAAAAGAATCAAAATAACTTTGAAGAAGATCATTCTAATATTATTAATCTAATAGCTCAATTTATTTGACCTCAATCTTTTTTTAACCAGTCTGTTTTGTGATATTCACCATGATATTCATATAGTATTATTTCCATGTAGTGTTTTCAAAACCCTAATAGTTACAGTTATTTTTCTATATTTAAAGGAATGGAGTAGTACTGGTTAACGCAATTGTACAGAGAAATCAAATAGTCTGTAAAAATTCATGAAGAATAGGTTATTCTGGAAATTGCATGCCAGGAGGACCTGGAAAAGTGAATAACTTGTAGTTCTAGGGAATAAGCAACCTTTCACCTCTAAGTTTTTACTGAAGTGTGATATATACAGGCATCAAAAATATCCAGATGCACAGTGTAATAAAGGATAATGCTCGACTGGAGAAAGAGACTGCAAAAATGACACCATCATATTCTGTAATTGCCTTTCACTAGCAATTTATCAGTTATATTGTATAAAAAGCCTTGGAAGCTCAACTTAGGTTATAGGAGAGCATTATTTCCATTTCACACATCATCGTGACTGATGGAGAACATAAAGACCAAATTACTTGTGCATGCATCTGCATAACTGCACAGCCTGCAGTGATGCAGCATTGCTTTAACTGTCTGTATAAGTCAGGGAGGGTTTGTTTACAAAATAGCCTTGTGGATTTCATGATTTCATTATGCATCTTTTTTCTTGGGCTCTTTCTGCAGGAATAAATGAAATAAAATGTACAAAAACCCCCTTGGTTTGACAGTAAAGGCAGCAAAATTACCCTGAAAGTGGATGAGATCCAGAAGTCGTTTCCAACCCTAACAATTCTGTGATTCTGAGGAAATGTCAGGGGGGAAAAAAATATTCCACCGAATTTGGTGTGAAAAATCCAGTATTAGTTATGCCGAACTAGCCAAGTCATTTAACAAACTACTTTGCTCCAATTTCCCCTAATTCTAATTCTCCTGAAAAATGTCTTGGGAAAAGAGAAGGAAACTAGAAAAATGTGCCTTTCAGTTTTGCTGGCAAAATTACAGTTTCCTTCCCATAAGACTATCTGTAGTTAGTTTTGAGTCCTTTTAAATTTAATTTAGTTTTTAAAGCAAGCTTTATTTGTAAAGAACTGCAGAGCATGGGAGATGTCACAGGCGATTTTAACTCTCTCCTCCGGCAATTTGCAGATTGACGTGGTTTGTTCTGTGTCTGTGTCTGTTCTGTCCCCAGGGTCAGCGGACTTTCTCCTTTCATGGGAGACAACGACAACGAAACCCTTGCCAATGTCACCTCAGCGACGTGGGACTTCGATGATGAGGCTTTCGATGAAATCTCTGACGATGCCAAGGACTTTATCAGCAATCTGCTGAAGAAAGACATGAAGTAAACCTGGATTTCCTTGCTGCACTTTCTGTGTTGGCATTTAGCCAGAGCTGCCAGTGGTGTTTCCCCCGTGGATGTCCCCACGGCCGCAGCACCTCTGGCCATACTTTATAAGGAGCTGTGCGTGCCTGCCCGGCGTGTGTGGCTCTTTATTCCACTTGCAGGGTGCAGGGGCTGAGTGCAGCTTTTGCTTCAATCGCCAGCTCTTCGTGCTCTTCCCTTTTTGTGTGGGCACACAAAAGCACCCGGGGCTCTTGTGTGGCCACTCCAATCCCCTCTCTTGCGTGACACACATTCCTGCGTGCCACGTTCTGTCTTGCTCTGAACGGGTTGCAGTTCTGCCTTGTGTCACTTTTAAGTGTGGTACCTCTGAGTAGGCAGCTTCTGTATAAACGTAGTAATTGGGAAAAAAAAAAAATCAATGGTGGAAGCCCTGTTTGCAGAAGTGTCTGAAGGAGCCAGTGAAAGGAAACATACTCCTTCCAATGAGTTTGCAAGTGGATGGATGGAGAACAGAGGGTTATTTACATGTGCACCCTGAGCAAAGTGAGGCCAGAGATTTGGACATTTCTGTTCTATGAGATGTTCAGGAGGCTGTTAAGTGGTGGGATGGGGAAATCTCTGTAAGTGAAGGAAGGGTGATTTGGGACTGGGTTCTGGCAGCATGAAGCAGCTGAATCACTGCCATTGTGGCTCTGCTGTATGTGTTCCTTGCCTAAAACATACAGCTTTTCCTGCTTTGTTTTATAATGTTTTATTAACACTTAAAATTGCACAGTTTTCTCTCAAAAAGATCTGCAGAAATTACGAAAGTGACTTTTAAGTTAGAATGGCTGGGAAAGCAAAACCATGTGATCTTTGTTGCTAAATTTAGGAGACAGAAAAATCAGCTCCTAGCAAAGAGAGCACAAAATAATGTTATAGCAGGTAGGTTCCTCTCTCGTTATTGGCAACACTGACTGGTCTTTTCATACAAAAACAGGAGTCGCTTAAATTGTACTCAATGTCTTCAGCATCCCTGGCTGCAAAAAGACACCAAAAACATGGAAGCCAAAAAACTTTCCAAAGATAGGATGAAGAAATATATGGCCAGAAGAAAATGGCAGGTAATGAAGAGGACATGGAATTGGGCTAGATATCCTAATGCATCTCTTTATTTTTAATGTTTATGATTCTGGGGAACATGTCATATCGGGGTTCTGCTGCTGCTGAAAGCTGCAGCATGGCCAGGGTGGGAATGCAGGACAGTTCTGGTGTGGCCAGGGTGGGAATGCTGAACAGCAGGTCTGGTTCCTGCAGCTGGGCAGTAGGAAGGTGCACAGCTGCACATGGATTACACAGGATGATCCCATTCCAGGCTACTGAAAGGCATGAGCTCAAGTATAGTTTTTTCTGCTCTTCTGGGGTTCTCTCTCCCTTCCCTGCCCTCTCCATGTCACTGAGAGCTGGAGGATTGTGCAACTCTTAACAAACCTGAACAGTTCAGGTAAAACTTGCCTGCCTGGCCTCCCCTAAAGTACCTTACTATGTGGCAGTTTCATTCTGCTAAGCCAAGAGTTCTGTCTTGTTGGAACCTCCTCAGCTTCCCATGCATCCAGTCAGACTGGTTTTCTGTAACATATTCAGTCTCCCTATCTTTTTTCCTAGTGCTGGAACTGGAGTAGCAGGTCCATCTGTGCCATGCTGATAGCTATAGGAGTTGCTGTGTGAAATCCTGGGTCTTTTTGAGTAGCCTTGAAATACTAATTTGTGTAGATCTAGCTTATATTCCCTCTTACATTCTACTCGTTTCTTGAAGCTCATGCAATACAAGTGTCTGTACTACTGCCCTCATAGTTTGAGCATATTTTAGTAGCCTGGTGGTTGATCCTGGGTCCTGTCAGAGGTCTGTTCCCATCATGCAGATGGGAATGCTTTCTCATTCATTTCATATCAGCTCGTTATCCATGTTGGATGAAATTCAGCCCAGCCCAGAAGGCTATGGAGAGAGGCGTTCCCCACCAGAGTTCAGTTCCACTTACACAGGACAGGGCTTCTCTGCTGGCCCTCCTCTCGCACAGTGCTTTTTATCCACAGCTAACAGAGACATTCATTTAGGTATGAGTTCATCAGGGGAAGTTTATATCTGCAACTAAATTTGGTAATTCAGTCCAGCCTGCTCTGTCTCTCCTAGAACAACTGAGCTATATATAAGCAGTTTGTCCACCAATTCCAGTGAGGTTTGCAGAGATCCCAGATAATTTGTCCGAAGCACGATTGTTGCAGAAAATCACATGCCTGTTGGATTGGATTGATCAGAAGCCTTTTCTGTTATGTCTTAGAAAACAGGCCATGCTGTCCGAGCAATAGGAAGACTGTCGTCCATGGCAATGATTTCTGGTATGAGTGGGAGGAAGGCCTCTGGGAGCTCACCTACAAGCCCTATAAATGCAGACAAAGCAGAGAATGAAGGTAAGGATTTTTTCTGTCCCATATTTTCACCTGTCTCTGAATAAATCCTACTAAAACTTTTAGCAAATTGCTAGAGACCAATGGAATTGGATATTACTGCGCTCTCTCTCTCTCTCTCTGTTTTTATCTTCCTATTTTTTAAAGAAATCTGTCAAAAATTCACTGTTCTTATATTGTCCTGCTACTGAAAATGTCACAGTACAAGTACAGGCAGCAAACTCTTTTCTTTTTAAAGCCAAAGAATTAAGGCAGATTTGTCAGCTGCGCTTTCTCTGGGTTTGGGAATGCATGTTTATACAGAGATGACAGTGATGTATTGCCTGCTCAGGCAGGCAGGCAAGCAATGAAGTATTAACACTTGCTGTAACCATGGCACACACCCTGCATTAGCCGTGCTCCTCAGACAGGGCATTTAAGGAAATGTCTGTGTTACTCCAGTGTCCCCAGATGAAATGTGAATTAGTGGTGTGCAACAGCCAGATGTTACAGTTCAGCAGTGCAAATGTATGACACTACTGAAAATCAAGCAATTTTGACAAATCCACAAAGACTATGGGTGTGGATCTGATACAAGTGGAGCTTGCTTATCCCTCTGACTAGCAAAAGTCCAGGTTTGCTAAGAAACTAATTCAAGGGAAAAATACTGAGGATTTGTAGCATGGTGGCCTTGCACATCTATTTCTTTCTATTTATGGCCTGAATCCTTTTCCAGCTGCAAAAGATTGGCACAAAGCTAAGCAGCCAATGTGCTCGCTGTCCTATTAGTATGACAGAATTAAGTGAAATAAAAGGTGCTTTCATTACCATCTGGTAATTAAAAACTAAAATACATCTTTTGAGAACATGCCCTGCAAAATTGTTCACTACCTCTTTGCTCTCCTCCAGATGCTTTCCTTGAAGAAGTGGCTGAAGAAAGGCCCCACGTAAAGCCATATTTTACTAAAAAAATCCTTGACATGGAAGTTGTGGAAGGAAGTGCTGCTAGATTTGACTGCAAAATTGAAGGTACTTTGAATAAGCATGTCCCTTTCTTTCGTTTTTTTCCTTTCTGCACTGGGTAATTGTTTTACTTTTTCAATTTTTACTTCTGTAGTATTGTCGAGTTGGTGCCATTTTACTTTACCAGTATCTGCAGAAATAGCACAAATAGCACAAATGTGTTGCAATAACAGAAATTATTTGGAGTTTGTTCTGTACTTGCCATAGAACAGAAGTCTCCAGGAGTCCACATGTGAATCACTAATTTAGAATAGCAAGTGGGAACTGTCTTTTGATTTTTAAGGGAACAGTAAGAGCAAGATGCAAAGTAGAAGCATAAATTCCAATAGAGACTCTTAGAGAGTGCCAGCCAGACACCAAGAATTAGTAGAAGGTCAGTTGTCTGAAATGACAGACCAGTTTCAGGTCACCCCAAGATAACTTTAAGCCATACCTACATTTTATTAAAGCCAAACAAGTCCCTAACTGCATATGCTTAAGTAAAGATAATATTCTTGTGCTGGTCACATAAGTCACATCTAGAAAATACTGTTCTGTTGTCTGGGGCTTTTTAACTTATGAGTTCAAGAAAGACACCTCAGACTGGAATATGCAAAGTGTATGTTTATGAGAAGACACGTAAGGAGCGTGAGCATGGTCAGCCCAAGAGTGTAAAGGCCAAGAGCACTGGCACTTCTCCTGCAGTGAGATTGAACCTTGTGTATCTCAGCCGTGAATGGAAACTAGAAATTTGGAAAGAAAAGCTGTGAAAACAAAATGGGTAGGGTCAGTACCATCCTGCATGTGTACAAGTTAATTTATAATCTTCAAGTGAGGAAATCAGAGACTGCCTCATCGACCTTCTGCTTGTTTCTATTCTCCCAATCTTTCTCTGCCTGGGTTTCCTATCTCACAGTGGAGAAGGATTATTATTATTGATGGATGCTCAGCGTGGGGGATACGTGCACAAGCACTGCATGGAATAAAACAGATGGATGTATCACGGCTGATATTCCAAACTTTGCAGTGTATTGCTGTGATGTTCACTGTGTCTTAGGGATTCCTGCACTTTATTTCTGCTCAAAGTTATCCTCCCCTGGGAGTTATCCTCCCCTCCCAGTCCAGAACTTGGCTGAGAGCACAAACCTTCCATTTGTTACAGCAGCCAACAGTACTGTATAAGGGATTGTTCTGCAGCAGGCATTGCACAGCGCTGCTCCGAGGCTTTCCAGAGCCATTTGCTTCACAAAAGGCTCTGAAACTCCTGGTGAGATGCACAATCAAAATGCTTTTCACAGATTTCCTCACTTACCCTAAAAAGTACAGAAAAGGGGAGTGCAATGTGACAGGCTGGCTTTTAAGGAGCGGATTAGGAGGAGGAAGATTCAGAATAAGCACAGCAAAGCAACCTGAGAAAGGTATTAAATTGTAAGCCCAAACCAGTTTACCCTTGAAATTCTGAATCTCGGCGTTGGGAACTGTCTCCGGAGAAGCTGCAGTGTAACGTGAGCCTCAGATGCACTGTCAGGAGTTCCCTGCTGGCTGATGGCTACAGCACACAAAAAACTGTCTGCAGGCACTGCTAAGGGACTGGAAGGAGGAATCCAGCGAGTACCGCAGTGCTCGCGTGCAGTTTTTGCTATTCATTAAAAATAGGTTCAGGTAAAGTAAAGTAAAAAAGCCTTAAATCATCTACATTTATTTTCCATAGAAGTCAATGAAATATTTGTCTACCAACACACTGGCACGTCCCCACACAGGAATTGGAGCACAAGGTAATTAGTGCTGAGTTAATGCTCGTTTATTGCAGTCACTGTTCTCTCTCTGCTCTTGCAGGCTATCCCGACCCTGAGGTGATGTGGTTCAAGGATGATCAGCCTGTCAAGGAGTCCCGTCACTTCCAGATCGATTACGACGAGGAAGGGAACTGTTCTTTGACTATTTCTGAAGTATGTGGGGACGATGATGCCAAATACACCTGCAAAGCTGTTAACAGCCTTGGGGAAGCCACGTGCACCGCAGAGCTCCTTGTGGAAACAATGGCAAAAGAAGGAGAGGGAGAAGGAGAAGAAGATGAAGAGGAGGAAGAATGAAACAAGGCTAAAAAATAAATATTTAAAGACTCTCCTTATAAGGCTCAGAAAACAAAGTTATCAAAAGCACCTTGTGTGAAACGTAGGTCTTTGGGGGGGTTGTTATTTCAGCATGATCAGTTGATACCTGTTAGCTTTATGTATGGGCATTACTTCAAACCAGCAGGCTTTTTAAGTTGCTAGCATGATTGGATTGACTTTAAGCAAGCCATCAACTAAGTTGCCCAGACTACTTTTAAAATCAAATGTATGGAAACTAAGTTATATTCTGAACATCTTAAAGAAAAATAGTTTATTTACTGAGCTCATTGCTCTTTGCCATCACTTTTCTCAGCCAAAACCGCAGCTAAGTTGGCTCCCCGAGATCTACTTTAAAGGAATTGTTGGCCAGACATGCAGTGAATCTCTCCAGTCCTGAGGAATAGGCTGAGCTGCATCTTCTCTAAGGGAAGGTTTGACACAGCCAGCATGGCAATTTGTATGTTGGCACGGTTGATTTCTTGTTTCCTTTAAGCTGAGTCTCACAGACCAAACTTCAAACATTTTCACTGCCTCTGACAGTGAGCTGTTAGTGCCCTTGTATTTCTGGCAAGCATTAAACATCCAGGTGGCTTCCTGAGATACTCCTGATCCTGCTTTTAGCCAGCTGATCCCACTTTGTCATCTTTCCCTTATGGAGCCTGTCACTTCAGTGCAGTTGCAGCTGCCTACTTAGAAACAGACTGAAAACACAAAGACTGAGAATATTTTCTGTGTTTCTGGTCAGTCTGATAAAGACTTAGGATTCATATATATGCTGCTGTGAAAAAACAGGTTATTGCACAATCAGTGATTTCTCTGTGCATGTCTGTGAATGGAATCCCAGGTTAGTTAAAGTTTTACTTGCATTTATTTGGCAATTGCAAAACAGATTTCAACTGATGATAAGCTGGAAACTCCCACAGATTTTTCGAGTAGCCAAAAACATAGTAGCCTGGATTACAAACTCCTCTATTCTTAGCAATTTCCAAAGCATCTTAACCTATATAGGACCTATTTCTACCTTATGAGCTTGACTGTCTTGTTTTTGTCTTGAACCTGCACAAGTAAGGCTGTTGCGTTTTTTAAAAACGCAGAAAAACAAAACAAACAAAAAAAATCCAAACCCCATTTTTTTTCTCAGAAATGCTTAATGCACTCAGACTTAGTAACTTTGCTTTCCTTTCACAGTATTGGCACTTTTTAATTTTTTTTGTTGTTGTTCAGAGGTAATATCAGAGGCTGCAAGGTGATTATGCATAATCCAAAACCAGTGTGTCTTATATCTATGTATCATTCCAAAAGTGATTCTTTTTCTTTTCCACTTTTTGTGTGTAAAGTGCAACCATTTGCATTTCAAAGGTTACCTCTTTAAAAAAAAAAAAGACATTACCTTAAATCCTCACCATTAAGTAGTCAGTGTACTTTAATACAGGTGTGTACATTACCAACCTTAGGTTGTTTGATATTACCTAGTTGTGTATGTGTTTCATATGATTTGCTCTTCTACATTCAAAGCTCAACTAATGTGGGTGACACGATGGTTTGTAACTGCTTTACTCTTTGTTGCTAAATTCAGATTGCCAGCATGTCTTTTCTTTTCGATTGATAAAAACCTCTTGTTATACTAAACACAGTATTGCCACAACTCCTTATACAGAAAGGTTTTGAATCTGATTTAGAGCATACAGAGCTTTCCTCACTTGTTTTTTTTTTAATGTTTTAGGCAACAACGGGGTGTATTTTGTACCTTAATAAAAATATGCTAATGTTCTCCCTGTTTGTTAAACCATCAGAATTGCAAAGATGAGACCGCTACGGCTGTAGTTACTCACGGTTCCTAAATAAATACTACCACAAAGCACACTCCTCGTATGCTCTATTGCAGCGTCCCGCGTTCACCTTGGCCAAGCCTCTCCTCCTGCCCCTCAGGGCTGCTGGCCACAAACTCCTGAGGTGGCAAAGCGGAGCCTCCCTGATGTCTGTGGTGCTGCTGCCCTCCTCCTGCCCTGGCTGGTGCTGTGCAGAGGCTGCTCTGCCCCAGCGCCACCAGCCACAGCCCGGGGCTGGCACTGGTGGCCTCGTGCTCTGCCACGTCTCCAGCGTCACCACAGGCCTCAGTGGGAACGTGGATGGGGCACCAGGGCGGCTCTGGGCTTGTTTCACAGTTGGGCATTTCCATATGGAGTTCTGAAAGACTGTGGGAGGAAGAGAGAAAAAAATCAGGCAAGTCTCAATGGAGATATGGACTTACACCAATTTTTCTAAAAACTGTAAAGGCAGAGGTAAGGACAAATGTGCTTGTGCTGATTTATTCAGACTTCTGCTAACATGCAGCCCATATCACCACAGGCCATGCAGGACCACACAGACTCTCCTTAAAGCAAATATTGTGCAAACACCCTGCTTGTAGCAACGTGCTTCCTGAGCAAATCCTCAGCCCTTGGAACAGCCACCTTTGCAAGGTGTGCCCCACTGTGTCATGAATGTACCTGGCTTTGTTCAGTGACTGCTGGTTCCCTGCTGCAGGGAGGCACACACCTGACATGGGGAAAGGTCTGGCTCTGCTGGGCTGCTCTGTGGGCACAGCAAGGTCTGTGGGTGCACTGGGTATCAGAGCCCACAGACTCAGAACTGCTGTTCCTGCACAGATCTTCCCTTCCCTCTCCTCCTTCACTAGTCCTTGTGTTCCACAGGCTATGAACTGCCCCAAGGATATTCCAAGGAGTTTACCATCTCCCTCTAGCTTCCTATTAACATCCATTCTGGTCTGCAGGAAACAATGACCTCTACTTCCAAAATTATGTGACATGCATCTGATTCAGCTCTGAGCAATTGACTGCAAGCTCTATTTGACCTTGAATTTTTTGCTTTGTTTGATGAATTCTACTTCCACTGAAGATATTTTATGTACTTGAAATCCTGTCTCATTCTGCCAGCTGTGGTTTAATAAAAGGCATTACCTCTTTCTGTAAACCTTGCCTTGCTTGTATAATGTTTGCAGAAATCCACTCTTGGGGTGTCATAGGGCTGAAACCCCAATAGCAGAGGTTATGCAAGACACTGGTACTGCCCAAGGTGGACCATTTAATTCTCCTTGGATTGCTTTTGTATGACATTCAGTCTTCTCAAGAGACAGTGGAGAATTTGGGGCTGGCTGCTGTTTTTCACTACTTGTGTTTCTGGATTTGCAGAAACTTAATTTCTGTCCTGTCCTGCCCAACCTCCCAAGCATCCTGTGCACATTTCTGCTTGATGAGGAGACCTTTGCTAATTGCATGCATGGCATGCAGTCGCTGGGTCCCTGCTTCCCTTTGCTGACAAGGAAGACAGCACTGGACTGCACACCCCTCTCCTCTGCAGTGACTGTGAGACTTTGCAAAAAGACTTTTTTTTTTTTTTTACTTGCATACATGAATAATGAATGATTTGTTTTTCTAAAATGTGTTACATTTATTGAAATATTCCACTAAAACATAGCTGTTTGGAAATGGAATTCTCATAAATCATCTTTGCATTTCGAGCCCTATTGTTTGTAAGAGACATGCACATGAATTTATAAGCCACAAAAATACTCACATGGAAGCAGAATTTTCTGAGATGTGGAGTGAGGCTTATGCTGTTATTCTGCACTGCTCATAAAGGGACTGCACCATGACATGCATGGGAAATAAACTGAGAGAAGTTTATGGGAGTGGAGAAGTAACTCCATGATGTGTTTACAATTTCTGTAAGGGAGAAAAAGTAAAAATTATTCTGTTGTGGCTGTTCAGAAAGGCAGTTCTGTCTGTCCTGATGAGAATGTTTGTTGGTGGGAAAGTAATGCTTTCCAGGCTTTTGCTCTTATAGGGAGCTTCAGCAGGAAATGAGTTCCAACTTCTCACTCACACAGCACCACGGCATTGTGAGGGTGGGAAGAGGCTCTGGAGATCATCCAGTCCAATCCCCACTCCAGGCAGGGTCACCAGAGCAGCTGACACAGGGACGTGTCTAGGGGCGCTTGGAATGTCTCCAGAGAGGGAGATTCCAGGACTTTGCAGCCTGTGTTCTGCCCCCTCAATGTAAAGAAGCTCTTCCTCATTGAGGTGAAACTTCCCGTGTTAGTTTATGGCCATTGCTCCCAGTCCTGTGGCTGGGCACCACCGAAAACCCTGCAGCACCCTCCTGGCACCCGCCTTTGAGACACTTATGTGCATCAATGGAGCTCGCCTCGCAGCCTTCTCTCCTCTGAACCACGTTATAAAAGTGACGAAAACCTACGAGATATTCCACAAATACCCGTACCAGCTAACCCTGTTACCGTCTCTAGGGACACGGCACACCTATTTCTCCCTGCAGAGGGGCGTTTTGAACCAGCCCTGAAAACCGAGCCATCGGGCCGCGGACCCCGGGCCGGCCCGGCCCCGCTGTGGGGCGAGGGTCGCAGGCGGTTCCGCGGCTGCGCGGAGCGGGCCGAATTTGGCGGCTGCTCCGCGCCGCAGGAGCGGGGCCGGGCCGAGGGCAGCGGCCTCTGCCGCCGCCGTGCCCGCGCTCCCGTCCGTCCCGAGCCCCTGCGGCTGCACCGCCCGGGTCGGGGCTGTGCCCCGTGTGCCCCGGCCCTGCCTCGCACTTTGGTCACGGTGAAGCGCACAGCCGAGCCCTCGCTCGCCGCTCCTCGTGCTGGACAGGGGCTCCTGAGCGTCCATGCTGCCTTCCCGCTGTCCCGGCTCTCGCCGTGCTCCGAGGCCGTAATCCGGCGGGGTGCCGGGGGTCCCGAGGCTGTGCCTGCCCGGCCTGTGCCAGGCCCCGAGCTCGGGCCCCGGTGTCCCCTCAGCGCCGCCCGGCCCGCGGCTCGGCCTGGCTGCCCCGTGCCGAGCGGGCTCTGCTCGGCAGAGCCAGTGCAGGCTCACTGCGAGCTGCCGGCTTTATCACTGACACCTTCGTTTATTTGCTCTGCAGCTGTTTTCACGTCCAGTGGCTGTGGGTTCCTTGCATCACCGTGTCTGTGGTTTCACTACAGGGGTAGCAGATTTCACTAGATATTTGCTCTGCAGCTGTTTTCACGTCCAGTGGCTGTGGGTTCCTTGCATCACCGTGTCTGTGGTGCAGATTCCAGCAGATTTCACTAGGGGGGTGGCCCTAAATGCAGGGAATTTGTCCACAGCAGTAGTTAAAGGCAGAGATCTTGAGCCCGGTAAGATTTCTCTACAAACCCTTCAGCTGGTCTGTAATTTGAACTTGGAAGCAGCTTTTGGGATGTGTGAGCTCCTGGACCAGCTTGGTGCTCTGCCCTTGCCCTGCATGGCGAAATGCAGACTGGTGCCAATTGGTGCTTGCTCAGGTGTGTTCTTAGGTACAGAACTAAAAATAGTTACAACTGGGAGCTCTCAAGAGAAAGGAGACTTTTTCTTCTTTTTTTTTTTTTTAATTAATTGTGGCTGTCACATCTCATTGGAATCCAGATAAAAATAAAACCATCTTTTGAAAGATTGAGGGTATTTGGGTGGGAGAAGAAAAGAGCCTTTAAAATGGATCCCAAATGAGCATCTATCTCTGCTAGATAAACCCTGGTGGGCGAGGAGTTGAGCAAACACAGTAGTGTCATCTTTGGGGGAAGGTTAGTGTAGAATTAATATAGATACAATTCACTTCAATAAGGCAGTTGGACATGAAGATTCTAGTCTTTGCTGGTGGCAGCTGATGCTATTTCAACTTAAAATATACTTACACTTGTGTGGGTCAGAGGTAGGGGAGCTGGGAGAGCTCAGTTTTTGTAAGGTGCCTGGTACACCCGTTACCCAACAGCTGTGTTACTGTGAAATGCTACTGAGCAGGTTTATGGCTCCATAGGATATTTGCAGGCTATTTCACTCAGAGGGCAAGGATAATTACCCACCAGTTTGATTTCAGTAATCTGTTGTTTCAGAAATAATTACATGAGTAATACAACACATTGCAGGCAGTCAGGAGAGCTTTTCAGTTTGGTTGTGGTGTCCCTGCACAATGTTAAGAAGTTCCCCTCTGAACTCTTCTAAGAAATAAAAGCATTTCCCTGCTTATTTTACTGCTCATATGCAATTCACTTGTGTTTATAAAAGATATAAAAAACCTGAGAGAGAAGCTGTGGTATAAATGGAAAGTTGTCTTTGTGGTCACGAACTTTTTGTCATGGCAAGCTACTGAGCATGGGAAATTTCTACTTCTTCAGGAGAACAGATCTGAAAAAAAATCGAGTGCTTGAAGCTCAGAAATAAATAACATAAACCTCTATTTAGCTTTCTGTTGTCATATAAATCTTGATCACAGTCTTGCCCATTTTCTTGATTTACACCAAATCTCTTAGAAAATTCCACTCTTGGGTGGGATGTGATTTATGGTGCTTTTTTTTTTGGACATGGTTGTGATTAGATGGTTTCTGCAGTTTGGGGAGTTACCATAGGAGTTCTCTGATCATGGTCATATCTCTGTGATGTCTCTCACTTTTCTTTTGGGCTAGGTCACCGAGGGCTCTCACTGATAATTCCTCTTCAAATGGATGAGGAGTTTGCACTTCCTCTGGACACTGCTGAAATTCTACAGTATACAGGGTTGAGCTTAGGAAAAAAGCTCAGTTGTGAAGCCTTTTAAAAAGGTAGTTTTTCTGGAGCTGATTGACAGAAGCTCAGTTGTTCAGATGAAGATTGGAAGATTGATACACAGCACTGATTATTTACTGACCCCATGTCAGTCAGAGTGCTCAGACTTCATTTTCCCAACTGCACTGCCTTGGAAAGAGACTTGTGAAAATAAAAAAACAAAGAATTCAAAGTGCCCAGGTGATGAAGTGATGCTCTAACAGCACATGGGATTTTTTGGAAGTGGTTTGTTTGGTTTGGTTTACAAAGGCTTGTAAACTGAAGCATACAACAACATTGTTGTGCAGTAAATAGGTACTAAATTAATGTTTTAAAACTACAGTTGTCCTAAGGATTAACTTTGTTTAAAATAGATCAAGTGACAGTTGAAAAATGTCAGCATAGCTACTGTATTTACTTTGCATTTATCTTGGCTTAGCTAGAGAAAACACAATTTCCTCCAAAAATAATAGATCTTGTTTCTGGTTTTATGCTGTAGTGCACGTAGTATATGGATTCCAACACAAAAAAACATACAGTGGTTTTTACAAGAGCAAAACAGTACAAAAAGCACCTGTGGATCTCTGTCTGGGGTTACATGCACTTACTAATTGGTTCATTTTTGGGTGTTTTTTTTTTTTATTTAATTGGAGCAATCATGGTACAACTAATTGGTTCATTTTTGGGTGTTTTTTTTTTATTTAAATGGGGCAATCATGGTACAATAGGGGATAACCAGTACTGCAGTTGCTTCTCAGCTCTGCTTGCTTAGGTTTTATTGCCCATGGCTCAAAGCATTAAGCTGCAGAAAGCTCTGCATCTTGCTTCTCTTGTGTTCAGGCAGACTCTCTTCCCATCACAGTGTGAAGCTGTGTAGTCATGCCTGACCTGGCATGGGGTTTCTGGAGGCAGAGATGCAGCATAGAAATTATTTTTCCTAAAAACTGTGCTTGACCAAAATCACTGAACAGTGCTGAATAGTGCTGGGTGGGGACATGGGACATGCTGTTAGAGCTGAGTGTAAATGTTAGATAAGCTGCTTTAAAAGGTGATTATGTTTCTTATTTTTAGTCAAGTGCTGTAACTGACTAGTACTTCTGGGTATAAGTAGCTGGTGGTTGTATAAACAATGAATTTAAAAAGGATTTCACTCAACAAGGTCGATGGTAATGTAATAGCTTTTGAATTTGCAAGGGTTTGTATTAATCAGTGTTGAACAAAGAGTGTTCCGGGTTGTGAGTTTCATTGTCCATGTCTTCAGTGAGTGGCTGTTGAGAGTCAGAGTACACTTCTCCCTTTCAGGTGCACTCACTGCATAGCTCTGCTCTATTCTTTTGCATAAATGTTACAGAACCTCAGTAAACTTTGCATAAGAAAATGCCTTTCTGTGACCTGTGAGAGAGCCAAGGGAGTTAACCTAAGGACCTGAGCAGAGAGCTTGTCTATCAAGTCTGACCAAATGAAAGAAACTCTGTGTGTGCACTATCCATTTTTCTTAGTCTGGATTAATCTGAGAATGGTAATTGTCCAGTTTGGAGTTTACAGACAGGGTAACACTAATTTAATGAAGTATAACTCCAGGTGGAGTTCAGTGTGTAGGTCAGAGAAATGAGCTTTCATGAGACAGTGGTGCCTTTTGCTGCCCTTCTAAACTTCTTGCCAAGTTCCATTTTCAGCTGATATTCCTTGATTTCACCTTCTCCTGTTCCATTTTGTCTAGTCCTACAGGGTGGAGAACTATTTAAGAATCACAGAAGCAGGACAGAGGTACTAAAAGCTTCAGCACAAACTAGGCTCAGCTTTTAATTTCCTATGGATTCATGCCCTGATCTGTATCAAATGCTTTTTGAAGATAGTAAATGGGATGGGAAGTACAGTCTTGCTGGAGTCAGTGATCTGGCAGGAGGGTGGAGCAGAGCAAGAGGCTGGAGCTGCTCTGGGAGCTGTGGGATTTACCAGTCTCTGCTCAGGTGAGGATGGTTTGCAGGCACAGCCAAGAACTGGCATCTTGTGCAACTGGAGAAATTGCTCAATTCAGCACTTTCTCAACAAAGGTGGAAGATCTAGAAAACCAGAGAAACTTGACAGATAAGAAGAGCACAGTGTAAACCTGCTCTGATTTCCTGGTCTAAAGAAGAAGTAGTTGGTGTTACAGGGGAGAATCTCTAATACTGTAGTCCTTACTGGTTTATTCTACACTGAAGTCCAACAAAATGAATCAGATTTATTCCTTGTAAACAGCAATTACTTGGCAAATGTTTGTCCTTTGGTTTCACAAGATGGCTTTAACTGAAATAACTTGTCACTCTGTAAAAAGGGAGGGCTTGTTTCTCTTTCCCATTTATCTTCCCCACTCCCCCTGCTTTGCTTTGGTGCATGTCTTCCAGAATTTAAGGCAGAAATTAATTAGCTTTCTTTCAATTTTGCTAACAGATTTTGTTACAAACACAAACTTGGATGCCGGAGTTATTTATTGTTGAAAAATCTGAACTTCTCTGTGTGTTTCAAACAATTACTACATTTGGGATGATGTGTGCACATACTTTGCAATATCCAAGCTAGTGTGGTACTTGTAAGATTTTGATATGCTCAAATAAAGGGAATTTCTTCATCATCCCTGTTACAAAACCACAGCTACACACCTTTTTCCAAAGGGTGAAAACTATTGCATAGTCAGTGGGCTTGCTATGTGTCTACACATTGAGGTGAGCTGTTAGCAGAGGCACTTCGTGATTCACACAAGGGATTTGGAGGGAGATGGAGGTAAAACTGGGTGGCATTCAGAGTAGCTGAGTGTAACACAGCCAGGATGAGCCTGTCAGGGAAAAGTTTGGGAGGCCCTGTTAAGGATTCTTCTTGACCAACTAGCCCCTTCTCCCCATGTTTGGCAAAAGCAATTGGAAAGTTCATTATCAAGTTCATTATAGATGCTGTTTTCAAGTGGAAGGTGTTTGACCAGGGTTGACCACTCACCTTGGATTTGTGGCTTGGCATAGACTTGACTGAAGAATTTCTCATGTTGTGGGCAAGCACCAGCTCTGGGTAGCTGTGGTAGTTAGTGAAAGCTTCATCAGCCAGGATGAAAAAGTTTTAGGTTTGTTTAAGTTACCTGAAGGGAAAATCACCAGGGTTAACAGGTCACACTGTTAACATACAGTTGCAGTTACATGGGCAGTACTTACATAGGCTCAGATAGAATTTGTTGGTTAAAAAGGAAAACTGGGATGGCCATGCTGCCTTCAAGGCTTTAGCAGGCTCAGTTTCCTTGAAGTTATGTATCTATAACTATTTCTCATATAATATATGCTCCCAATTAAGCTGGATGACCTCTTCTAATGTCTAGGGGTTTACTTTGAACTGAAATGTTAAAATAAAATGCCTTCTGAATCTTGTTTATGTCATACTGCTCTAAATTGGTAATAGGTCTCTGACTAGCTGTTTTTCTGCTTAAACTAAACAAAATGTGATGCCAGTCTGCCATGAATACATTCCATAACTAATTAAATAGAGCTAACAGGAAAATAAATGGGACATTAGAGATATTGGTACCACATTGGTGCTGAAAAGTGCTTTTAAAATGCATCGTCTTTCGCTTGGATAGATTTGAAGGTGCAATTTCTAGTGTTGCAGAGTTAGTGTATTTCAGGACAGTCCTGCCTGTTGCTTTCTCAAGTATTAAAAGACGGATTAAAGATTTCTTTTTACTTATGCTTTGCTTAATGTCTCATTTTTTCTCTCTTTCAGGTGGCTCGTTATTGCAGTTGGTCTGGTTAGGGCATATCTGGCTAAAGGCAGCTACCACAGCCTTTACTATTCAATAGAGAAGCCCCTGAAATTCTTCCAAACTGGAGCTTTGCTTGAGGTGGGTGTAGTCCTATTCCCTGGCCTTACTAATACTTGCATGAATGTGTTGTATTTCTTATATTTACTTTAATTCTACTGAACAGCTCACACAAAAGCTGAGTTTTCCTTTTAGCAAGAGGGAGTTTTACTGTCTGCTATTTAGCTTGGGCAGCAGAGCTTAATATTAATCTTAATCATTGAAATGCAAATACTGAATCTTAAGCACTTGTAACAGAATTAAATGTGAGTCTGAATTGCTTAATTTGAAATGTTAGTGATTTGAATTTTTCTTTTTGTTCTAGATTCTGCACTGTGCACTTGGTAAGCTTGCAAATTTTCTGTTTACTATTTTTATAGAAGACTGAACTTTTAGCAATATATTTGCAAGAAACCTGTTACAGTCCGTGAATTGCTGAATTTAATTCTTGCATAACTTAGTAATTTTTGTTTGAAATGCATTCCAGTTTTTTACTCCCTAATTTGAGAAGTCACAAAACAATAAAACAGTGCTCCAGGTCCTGTCTGAATGTTCACTAGCCACTACATAAAGAGTAAGATGGTGTTGAGGTTCCTAAAGTTGCAGCTACAGACTTCTATTTTTCATCATTGTCCAGAGAGCCACATAAAGGAGAGGGTTTTGGATTGCAGGTTCGTAGTGAGTTCTGGGGGATGTTCCAATAACCAAGTGAGGTGTTGGGAGAGCTGGTGCTGGGAGTGTGTCAGCAGAGGGCAGTCTGGTTCTGTCTCAGATGAAGTAGTGCTGACCCTCCTGAATCATCCAGCTGCTCTGAAAATGTCCTAGGAAGGCAGTTCATAAACTGTGCACAGATCACCCCAAGAAATGAATGATCATATACACCTCAAATTCATGTAAAGGCTCTTCAGAGTAAACTGAGTGTATCATCTGTTTTCCTGTGCTGCAAAGGCAATCCTTCCAATGCTGTTTAATTTTACTAAATCACAATTACTGTTTTTTACCAGAATAAACCATACTTTTTAAAAGAACTTGTCAACAATTAATATTACAATGTGCCATTTTTTAAGGTCTTGTTTAACAAGTGGCAAGAAGAAGTTAAATCTTGGAATACTGGAGAGAAAACCTTGCAGATAAAATGCTGGTTTCACCATCCTAAATCCATTATGCTTTGCTGTTTTCTCGGTTGATTTGAGGTGTGGATCCATTTAGCCCATTTTATCCTTAGTGCACAATTTAATATTAGAGAGAGCCATTAGGGGAAAGTGGCAACATTTTATGCTGGTTCTATTCTTTGTGCTTTCCCTAACAAAACTCTTTTGCAAAAGACTGGTTTTCTTTTAAGTGGCTGTGGATTCTATTTTTTTCTGTTAATGGAAGTGTTTGTCAGCTAAATAAAGTGAGGGGGGTTTGCACAGCTGGATGCACTGCTGCTGTCTGCTGCAGTCCTACTGACTGTAGCAAAAGTTTCTGTGCAAGGAGAAACAGGAAATGTGCAGATTCCTTTGCCCCTGCTGAACTAATTGCTCTAACTAGAGCTGTAATTCTCTGTCAATAGAAGAGCTTATGTGGGACAGATGGCTGTGTGTATCAGCATAACTTTTCTCTCCACATCTTTTCAGTAGAATCTGAAATGTTAGCATCTGTGAGGCAAGTCCTTCAAAATACAAGGATTGATAGGGGAGTGTCTCTGTGAAGCATGGCTGAGAACAGGATTTGACAAATAACAGAGGTTTAAAAAATGCAGAGCTGTACCTGGAAAGGAGTTAACATGTAGTCCAGAGACCAAGACAATGTGATGAAACTGAGGAGAATTATGTCTGTAGGATTTTCCTTTTCCCTCTCATAGAAGCCAAACATATAAATTAAAATAATTCAACTGAAACTTGCTTTTGACTTTTCTTACTCTCTTGTCCTATTTAATTTTCCTCTTTGGCCCCTGTATATTTCTGAGGCTGTTGTGTTGCTTGTGGTTTGCATTAGCTCTACAAGCACTTTTTACTCTATCTTAGGAGCTACACCTGCTCTTTATCGTTTAGCTATTAGAAGAAAATAAAACTTTGGGATTCAAAGTTTAGAAATTTTGTGTCTAAAACTGTTCCTGCTCTGACAGACCTGGCTGTGTAGGGTCCTTTCACTGGCAGGTCAGTTGGCACCTCAGAACTTGCTGGAAGAGCCAGTGATATCTGCTTCCTTGAGAAAATCTTCAAGTTGCTTCTGTACCTGCCAGTGCATCAGCTGTTCCCTGGGGTTTGTTTGTTGTGGGGTTGGTTTGGGTTTTTTCTGAGTTGTATTTCCAGGAAGGAACTACAAGCTTTTCATCTATCAAAATATGGGCTAGATCAGTGTTTCTGAAAAATACTTAGAATTTTTGATGGCTGGTTGTTTGTTTTTTTTGGTTTGTTTTTTTTTTTGAATATACAGTGCAAAACATATTATCTTTACTTTTTAAATCACAGTAATGAAGAGTATCTTGGATATTTTAATCAAACAGGATTATTTGAAAGACTGTATCCCAGAAGCTGTTTGATTGAAATTATCTGATTGAGCTGTTCTGTGTATTGAGGAATGTGCTGTGATTGCAACAAGATCAATTACATTTGTTTGCATTTTGATGCAGAAAGCCTTGTCAGGGAATTGCACTGCATTATGCTGTATAAACACACTGAAGGACTCACTTCAGATTTTCAAATTAAAAAAAAAATTAAATGCTTTCCTTCCAGAAATTTCAAATAACTGGACTTTGGTTTAGCTGTGTTATATTTCCCCACCCCTACCTCCTACCTTGTGAATCAGGAATATTTACTAATTGCAAAATATCTTCCAGGCATTGTTCCCTCTTCTGTTGTTCTGACTGCTTTCCAAGTGATGTCAAGGGTTTTCCTGACGTGGGCAGTAACACACAGTGTAAAAGAGGTAAGGCAAGCTACAAATTGATAGAAAATCTGTTGATCCATGCTGAAAAGCAAGTGTTGATTGCTGTCTTATTGCCCTTAAAATGTCTTCTGTTTGTATCCCACCATGGGAAATTGTTCATATGAATTTCTGTGGATCAAAAGAAATAAAAATAGATCTGATGTCATCTTTTGTTGACAGTCAAATGGAGCAAGGTCTGATTCTGTCCCTGTAAGACATCTAGCTCCTGGATAGATTCTGCAGTCCTTACTGGCAGTTAAGCAGCTTCCAGTGTGTAATACAGAGCACAGAATTTGGTACAGCCTTCTAGTGCCATTATGAAAAGCAAAATCTCCTTGCCCTCCTGCATATGCAATTCACTTCCTGTGGCATCTGAAACTCCCCCTCAGTTGTTTGTGCACAGCACTGCCTCCATGCTCTCCACTGTCACTCTCCAGGATAATCTTTCCACTGTCCTTCATTCAATTTTGTTATATTCAAATGTAGGTAAATTTTGGGGGCTGAGTGTTTTTTCTCACTGCTCACCACACCAGATAGTGCTGTACTTCATGCAGATCTCTGTAGAGTCTTTTGGAAGCCGTGTTTTTTGAAGATTATTCCTGACAGCTGTTTTAAAACCTAGACATGCTTTGATTGGTACAGGTTGTGGTGACTGACTCGGGTCATCTGAATCGTTGTAGTAGCCCAAATATGCTGCATCTCTGCTGTAACTTTAGCCAACTAATCTTACTGGTTTTCTTCTCATTAAGGAAAGAAATTAGTCTTGATACCAGTGTCAGCATGGGTGCCTGAAATAAGTGACAGTCATGTTATACATAAGATTATTTGTTACTTGAATGGAGAGTGTCTTAAGGAACTTGACTTATTGCCAAGTCTTGAGGGAAGCTGCTTTCTCTTCCTTCCTCCAAACCTGCTATCAGAGCATCCATGCACATGTAGAGCAACATAAGTCACTGCAGTTCCTAGCAATTATCAGTCCTTTCTGGTATTGTGATGCTTGTTCATGTGAAGCTTCTAGTTTCATGGTACTTAAAGTAGAGGAATGTTATTTTTCTCAATAAACATAAAATCTGTTTTCTAATGGACTTACCTTGTTAGTGCAAATTATTGTACTCTGGTCTCTGTTAAATCACCAGAAATAAATCCTAGGTTTTGGAAAAAAAAAAACCAAACCATAATCTCAAGACATTAGATTTTTATATATATGTATAAAATACTTAAAAATAAGTACTCTTGGAGTTTTACTTGTTATCTCTATGATGTTGGGATATCTGGTGCTTAGAATTATTCCATGTGTTGTCTGTTAGACATCAAAGAAAAACCTGTAATGTGATTGTGGGTTAGGTTTATTTGAAGCTTATGCCCACATTCTCACAAGAGAAAACTGACAAAATGGGAGCAATGAGTATAGCCAAATATTTGACTTCTAACAAGGATTCTTTCAACAATATTCCATGCAGATTTTTTTTCCCCGCACTTGTGGGTCTCTGGTTAAAGTCTTGCAAGAGACTGTGTTATGTGTTACTTTTTTAGTGTCTTAGAAAGTGGGTATAAGAATGGCTTGGATGAGGAACCCTGTGATGAGTTTCTGACCTGTGGCTTAGAGCAAACAAATCAAATAAGAGGCTGTATTCTGACCCCTCCCCTTGCCCCAACCAGGGAGCCTGCAGGCTCACCTGGGGAAATGTACTGCAAGTGTCACAAGTGTTCTACTTTCTCTGAAGGGCTGTCTGCACAAGTGAGCTCCATGGTGAAGGCCAGGATTAAATTCTCACACAGCTTTATGGAACTTGTAAGCGATGCAGTTGCATGATGAGGTTCTTGTAAAATAAAATGCAGTTTTCCTCTTTAACTTTTTGAATGAGATTTGTTCAGTATCTTGCTTTTCCAGACTGTTTTCATATATAATGCAGCTAAAAGAAGAAATGTGTATTGCATCCCTCCTTCTGTCAGGATACACTTCCAGAAATGCGATGTGTTTTGAAGCATGCTTCTTGCCACTAACATGTTTGTGCTTTTTGTGAACTTCGGTGCTGGTGTGTTGTTAAACTCAATATGAAATTATTCACAATAAATGTTAAAGCATGGCAAATGTTAAAGCACTGCACACAGAGATTCTCCTCACCTGCACTGTAGGAGCAGTTGTTGGTGTTGTGGAGGAGGGCCTGGCATGTCATCAGTGCTGGCCATTATGTCAGAAAGGAGCCAGTTCAGTGAATTTTACTGTTCCCCCTGCAAAGGAGAGCAGAGAATGAGCAGCTGGTGTGAAGGGCTGGGAGAATGTAGGCATAGGAGAACAGAAAGTGCCCTTCAGCTCACAAGATGTCTTTTGGAATTCCTGTGAGCAGTGAGATCATCTGGTGACATCATGGTGGGCCCTCATGGAGTTCCATTCTGATAGATAATTCTGCACCCAGTTCTGATGGGTAATTAAAAATTGTGTCAACAGGCATTTATTGCTTATCCCATTGGGCTCAGTTACAGATGAGTTGCAAATAAGTGTAATATATATTTAGAGGATCTTTTGTAGAAAACACAGGCAAGAGATGCTGTGAAAACAGCATTTAAAGCATGTAGAGTTGGTAATTGGGACTCTAGTATCTGCAGTAGGGAATTGATGTCTTCAATCAGTAGTAAAGCATACTTACTTAAAAGAGGGGAGAACATCTTAACTTATGATATTTAGGATTAAGTTGTTAGTAAAAAGTCCATGATGGAAGGATCAGAAGTCTGAATGGCTGAGTACAGTTGAAAAACCTGACTCATCATTGCTTTACATCTGTGTAAAATTAGAGCAATACCATACAACACAATAGTCTGTCAGGCCCTTTGTGCCTACTATGAAGTTTCCATTTTTTTCCCCCCTGAATTTTGTGTTTTCTTTTTTAATTACTGCACCAGAGAACCAGCTCTTTGGAGAGAGACGTGCTGTTCCAATATTTTCCATCATTACACTTGCATAGTGCTGCTGGTTTTGCTCTTCTGCATTGGATTGCTTAATTATGTGTTTAGCTGAAATTTTCTGCAAATTTGTCAAACTGTTACTCTTAATGTAGAGAAATTTCCCTTTCCAGTCTTAAGGAGAACATTAAAAACCTCTCAGGCTTTATTTTGTCAACTCCCAGTTCTCATCTTTGCATCTTAAAAGACAGTGGTTTCTTTTATATTTTAGCAAACATTGTCTGCTATTTACAGTATTTAAGAAAAGCTGAAATATATTCAGGATCCTCCTTGATGATATGTTGGCTTGAAGCACATGCCAAAAAATTATACCTGTTGTTTGATTGACCTGTATTAAGAGAGTTGGATAACTAAGGTGTAAATAAAGTTTTTGAGTTGTGTCTAAGACTTCCTTGAAAGACTGCCATGAAGAAAGTAGTGGAAGAAGAATTGAATTCTCAGGGAGCCTTGGCCTTAGTGGTTCTTTGAAGGTCTACTGTGTATTTGCCCTGTCTTCAGCCTGAAAGAGGAATGATGCAAATGCAGCATTAGCAGTGGCTAAAAGAATAAGACTCCTGAAAAATTGTTTTTCCGTAGATAGGGACACAAGCCATGAAGGCACAATCAGTGATTCTTAAAATGACATAAGAGGGTTGTGTGTTTCATAATGGTGTGAACTGTTTTAATAAGTTATAATACAAAGGAGAGGGGGGAGACCAGACCTTGGAGGCAGTGTTAGAGACATCATGTGATAGAACTGGACTGGAATTTTCTACTTCCATGTGTATGAATCACTGTTGGCGTCCCAGTTTCTTGTCCTTGCTCATATCCTTGGATGCTACTTCAAGCTGCAAACTTTTGGGTTTTGACTTTTCCCATTTCCATAGCTAGGGAAAGAAGTGGGATTTAAAGCACAGGTTGAAGCTGGGACTCACAGGTTTAGGTGAACTCCTCACTAAGCTGCTACTCCCAGTTTGGCCAGAAGATGCAGCTCTGGAGTGCTTGTCAAGCAGTTCCTCCTTTGGAGCAGCAGCATCTGGGAAGTGCTGTTCACTCTCCCTGCTGAGAACTAAGTCTTGCTTATAAAGCAGACCTCAAACGGGATTAGGATCCTGCAGCAATGTGTAAAAATAGATTTGGTTTCTTCTCTGAAAATCTTCAAATAATTTTTGTATTTTGCTATTTTATAGTGATGTAAGGGAGATGAATATATAAACAAATTATCAGAATGTGGAAAAATAATAAGGTGCTTTTGCTGCAAAATGCAGTGAAAGTGACCTGAAATGTTACACGTTGTAGAACATAGATTTACAGCACTGTACAGATTACCAGCAGCTCTGCATTCCAGGATAGCTCCAGATTTCTGTATAAATTTTTTTGGGTTTTGCAGGCTGTAACAAAGCTTTTTCTGGGTAATTCCCTTGGGAAAAAAATTCCCTTTTTTATTCAAAAGTATATGATGAGTCCCCTCCTATTAAGAAGTTTCTGATTGTCCATATATATATATGTACATACACACATTCTTGTCCTTTTTTTTCCTGTTGGTTTGTACTTTGCCCAAGATGAATAGAATGCTCCACCCACATCTCCTCACTTCCTTTTCCCTTTTTTCAAGAGTTGGAGAAAAAGAGAAAATATGGGCTCCTGTGGTGGAACTCCTTTCGTTCCCACTGTCCACTGAATTTGGGCTCAAGGTGCTCATACAGCTGGGAATTCTGTTGAAGAGGGGAGAGAGGGAGAAGGCTGAATTAAAATCATGTCCAATCCCTCAAGAGTTTGTGACCCCACATATACTTGAGATCCTTCAGGAACTTGAATCTCATAATGATGCTCCATAATCTAATAAATATAACTCTTCATTTTAAAGTACATGCTTTTGAGGATTGACCTTATAAATGTCACAGATAAAGGCAGTTCCTTACAGAATATTTTGAGCTGAAAGGGACCCACAAGGATCACTGAGTCCAGCTCCTAAATTATCCCATGCAGGGATCAAGCCCACAAGCTTGGCATTATTAGCACCATGCTCAGACCAGCAGAGCTGATCTCAGGGTTAAAATGTGGAGGGAGTTACAGCTGCTTCACTGATGTGTGAGTGACATAAAAGCTCCAAGAGGTGTAAAGCAGTGAAACATGATATTGCCTTGAGTGTGACATTAGAGGAACTATGCTACTTGCAATGAGCAGAAAATGGGGCAAGGAACAGTGAATCAGGCACCTGTCAGGCTTACCTGAGGTGAGACAATCTGAGCATGGTTCTTCTCTCCTCCCAGCCTGAGATCTCATGTTAGCTGTGTTGCTGCTGCTCAAAAGTAGGATCCAGTTTCTGATCAGAAAAAGGAAAACAGTACTGCTCAGAAGCACCATGAACTGGTATCAGAATATTAAGTGTAAACCAAGTATCAAGTGTTAGGCCATTCTTTCTGCATAGGAAACAGTCACAGGACTGAAATAGAAGCTGGTAGTCTATAGGAATGGAAGAGTTAAGAATTATACTCAGCATTTCAGGGGTTTCTTGTACCAATTTACCTTGCACAGAATATGGGAGCTGAAGTTACCTGATCATGAAGCAGAGCCATTCTTAAGCAACTAGAAAAACACAGAGCATGATAAGAAGGGTTTTTTACTGTTGTTACTAATGTTGCTTTTAAGCTCATTCTTGGAGTCTGTTCTCTAAAATGATGCAGTAAAGTAACCCACAGGAACTGATTTCTGTGAGGTTTTCTTGGTTCTGGTGAGTAACTGGGAATGCTCAAGCTCATACAAAGCCTTTTTTCCGTTCTCACAGGTACAAAGTGAAGACAGTGTCCTCTTGTTTGTAGTGGCCTGGACAATCACCGAGATAATCCGTTATTCTTTTTACACCTTTAGCTTGTTAAACCATCTCCCTTATCTCATCAAATGGGCCAGGTCGGTAGCATGATAAAAGTTACAGCCTTAAAGCACTGATCTGACAGGGGTATTTATCTTGTAAAGTAGTTGCAGTGCAAAAAAATTAGATTCTGCCTTCAGGTAATTGCCCTGTTTGTGAATGCCTAGCTTCTTTCCAGCAGATTTTAAGGTTACAAAAATCTATTGCATTTTAAGCTGAAAGAGTCATTTGTCTGAACTCAGTTCCATTTTCAAAATAATAGTTTGTCACAAAGTGATATTTAACAGTAGGGGATGACAGTAAGTAAACTGACATTTAGCAGTAATCCAGTGGTTGTCCTTGAAATAATATTTAGGCTCATTGATTAACATCAACTATATTTGGCCCTGTTTGAAGTAGTAAAATGACTTCTACCAAAGAATTCAGAAGTCAAATTAATAAAATGTGTATGTTGGAGAATAGTTTTAAAGACAACTTGTAGATTCTCAGATTAAATCTTTAAATATTTCCAAATGATTGCTGATTTGAATACTTACCTTGCAATAGTGTTCATACCTTTCCATTCTCTAATCAAATAAGATCTAAGAAAAATAAATACTGAGTGGAGAATTCAAATTTTGAATATCTGTAATATCATTTAACAAATATTTAGTCAGAGTTTGTCATAACTTTTAATTCTTTCTGTGTTTCATTCTAGGTACACTTTGTTTATAGTGTTGTATCCAATGGGAGTCTCAGGTGAATTACTCACAATATATGCTGCATTACCCTTCGTCAGGCAGTCTGGCTTGTATTCCATTAGTTTACCTAACAAGTACAATTTTTCATTTGACTACTATACATTCCTGATCCTGGTCATGATCTCTTACATTCCAAGTAAGTATGAGTTTGTTAGGTTTCTTAGTATTAACCGCTGTACTGGGAAAAGCAAACAACTGTGGGGTTAACATACATACAAGTAACCAATCTAGCCTGCTGATGACCTTGTTTAATTTTTGCATGGTTTGCAAAGGTTTCTCGTGGAAATTTCAGCTTTTGCTGTTTGTATATGTATGTTTTCCTCCCCCTCCTTCATTGTTTTGCAAACATACTGTTTACCACAGTTTTGGAAATAGAAAGAGAAAAAGCTCTGGATAGAGAGAGATGAAAGAGGCACGGATGTGTATAAAATGCCTTAGAGTCTGACAAAGTGATACTAGATTTACAAAAAAATCAAGCAAATCTGGAAATTTCTCTTGAAGGACTTTTTCTGCCCTGCAGTCTGGTTTTTTTTGTATTCTGTGCATGCAGTTATGGCAACATTTGTCATCTGCTTCCACATTTAGAGTTAAATAAGGCATTTTGCATTTTATTAAAAATGTGATTGCTCTAGCAGAGAAATTAATAGTACCTGCAGCCTAAGAACAATATCAGCTCATCTCTTTAGAGTGTAAATTACAAAGCAATAGATAAAGTGGATAAGCACATCCTCTAATAGAGATTTGGTGACCTTGACCATGTGACTGTGCATCTTGCAGGCCTCTCTTCACACTTGACTGACCTGAGTCTGTTTTCTCCTCAGTCTTCCCTCAGCTCTATTTCCACATGCTGCATCAGAGGCGGAAGGTACTCTCCCACTCGGAAGAGCATAAGAAGTCGGAGTAATTCCAACTCTTTTTCAGAACTTTTCAAACATCAAAATGCTGCAGTTTTTCAATACCCAGCACATTTGTAAAGAGTATACCAAGATAAGTCAGAGGTAAAAGACCAATAATTTAGCAAGAATAACTAATAAATCTGATTTCAGTGAAATTCCAGGATGTCAAACATTGAAATATTTTTCAGCTTGCAGTGCTTCAGAAAACGTAAAACTTTATATGGCTTGGCAGTTAACCTTTTCCTTAAATGATGTGCTAAATGGTTTTCATTTATTACTAAATGCCTGAAGGTTGCAGTATGAGTGATGAAGTTGTACCCACTAAATGCCTGAATTGGGATTATATTACTGATACCTCTTTTTTTAAGTGCTTGACTGCATGCCAGAAACTGTATGTATTGCTGTGAAAGCAAACAATATGCTCTGGAATACTTCAGGATAATGTCAGAGACTTCAGTGGAGAATGTAATCTGGGCAAAGTATTTGACTTTAGAAAGGTAGGTTGTGTATTTAAAAGGTGATGGGAACAAGAACAAGAATCCAATTACGGAAAATGACGGGAATGTGGTTCTTTAGGAATTTAAACAGTACAGTGTCTGACCAGAGTGTGTTCTCTGAAAAGCTTGTTTGAGCTGATCACTCAAATGCTAATATTAATTCAGAGGCTGTAATTCTTATCTGAAACATTAAAACTACCCCAAGTACTGCATCCCTGAATACTTTTTTATATATTAAAAAAATTAATACTAACTGTAATACTTTAGTGGTATCAGTAATGAATCTAAATATAAGGAGCTAGTTCACCCAGAAACAGGTGCAGTTCTCCCTTTTTTACTTTAAATTTTCATCTCTAGTCATTGTCTGTGATATTCATCTTTCAGTGCTGAGGTCTACATGGTCTGCTGTGTTTGGGGGCCCTGTTCCTTAGCCTGACTTTTCTCAAGTGACTGAGGTCATCACTCTGGCACATCCAAGCAGGCAGTTCCAGGCACTCATCTTCTGAAGTGTTGCAAAGTCATAATCTGCTCCTTGCAGAGCAAATTGTCTCATGTGTTACATGCTGCCTTTGCATGTAGGACAAGCCACCCTCGTCTGCTCTTTGGGAAGAGTGGAAGACCACAAGAAGTTATATTCTCCTAGGTGCTTTCTCTGGGTTCTCAGGCTTAGCCTTTCCTTGGGAGGCTGAAAGGAAAATGAAGGAGCTGAGAAAGCACTAGTACTGTGAGTGCTGTGCCCCAAGCCTAGAAGAAATTTCTGATGGGGAGTAACAGGGTGGAGAATGAAGGGAAATGAATGGGTATCCAGGCAGAGACAAACGCAAATGTAGGTTATGGCTTTGCTCTGTTAGGAATTGATGGCCAAATAGTCCTGTCTGCATCCAGTCAGAGTCGCTAGACAAGACCACGTGGGCCTCTCTGGCTTCCCTCTGGTTTGATTCAGTGCACAGATGAGGTGTGACCATTCCCGTGCTGCCTGCAGTGCTGCCTCGTGCTCTGCCTGCCAGCAACTCCCCTGGCCTGGTTGTGTTTGACACATCCCAGCTCTTCCAAACACAGCTGGGAAGTACTGAGGACACAGGCTCTCTGTTCCAGAAGTTGGGAAGAGTTGGATTTACAGTTATTCAGATTTATGCTTGTCAGAGCAATATTTTAAAAAGACCAAAACCTTGTCATTTTTCAGTAATTTTCTTTGGCTCCATCAAAAGGACTGAATTTTCCTATCTCTGACTATATAGAGCCTTTCCTGTTCAACACAAACAGGATTATTATAAGCAGAGAAAGGACAAGAGACAATAATAATCTTTGCTTCTATTTTCAACATTTTGGAGCCAGTTACTGACTGGATTATAAAACACAGGAGGTTGTAGCAAGTTGGATGTTGTTGATCTTTTCTCCCAAGTTACAAGCAATAGGACTAGAGCATACTGCCTCTTCTTGTGCCAGGGAAGGTCTAGATGGGATATTAGGGAAAATTTCTTCATAGAAAGGGTTTTCAAGCATTGGAACAAGCTTCCCAGGGAAATAATAGTCACCATCCTTGAAGGTATTTAAAATACCTGAAGATGTGGTGCATAAGGACATGGTTTACTGGGGTTTTGCAGTGTTAGGATAATGGTTGGACTCCATCTTAGAGGTCTTTTCCAACCCAAACAATTCTGTGATTCTATTACTATGGCCATATACAACCTCAAAATGGTTTTGGATTCAAAGATGCAACAATTCAATTAATTTCTATGTTAATTTCTGTATACTTTGTTGTAGTGATCTGACAAATGTTACATTATTCCGAAGTCATTGTTTGAAAGTGTGAACTTCCACCTCTGAAGAAAACATCTCCTTTTGCTTATACTTGCTATTAAAGAAGTTAATGTCAGTATTTCTGAAAGATGTCATCTAAAGATCTGATTTCCTGATGTACTTAGGTTACTGGATATTGTCAATGCTCAGCTCCTGAACTTTCCTTAATTTGATTTCTGTGCCCAAGTAAAAGATTTGGTTTCAGATTTGTTGGTCCAATTTGGAGATAAAAAAATGGCTGTGTAATACTCCTGCATGAGACAAACCCCTGGCTCTGTTGATGGGAAAGATACAGAACAGATCTACAACAGATAGCACTGGCACCATGGAAAAGCAGAGCAAGCTGCCAGTAGGGAGGAAGCTTCTACAACCAACATCTTTGCTGAACAGGCTTTATGATGGAATATTTACTTAATTGAAAGTATCCATTTATGTCAAAAATGCAAATAAACTATGGCCTTTTAAAAGAAAATTGAGTTACTTTTCCTTTCAAGAGAAAGAGGTTGCTTTCACAGTAAGAATTCTTACCAGCAAGGTTGATTTATAAATTATATTCTGAAGTCTGAATGTGCAGTTGCTATGTACAAAAATTCAGTGCTTCATGTTGCAGTGCTTTTTCAAGTTTAACTTCTATGGAAATCACTGGAAGGTGATCTTGAGAGAGATCTGTAGTGTGATGCCCTAAAACTGTTGGGGTTGTTCCCTAATACTGATTTTGCTGACACATGTGAGGTTTCTTCTCCTCATAAAAGAAGTTTCCCCTCATCTGTCACTGAAATTGTGGTTTCTGTGAGCTCTGTAATAGAAGCTTTGATTGGTTCTGTGTCACAAATGGGTTTATTTCCCCTCAGACTGTTTCCTTGGCTCGCATGTTCTCTATCAGCCTCTCCAGAGCAGCAGCCCCCCTGCTTTGGTGCTCTCTGTTGTGTGCACTGGTTCAGTTGACAGCACTTTTTG